AAGGCAAGATCTGCCCATGAATGCTGCCCATCGTCGAGGGTTTGGCAAGGAATCGTAGCCTCGTGCATGTCCCTTGTCTACACGGTATTAAGACTTTCGGAAAAAGGCTCGCGCCGAGTGAGTTGCCAAAGTCTGGGACTCGTCGCGGCAGTCGCGGATACCGATTGTCAGGTATACTTACGTGCTCCAGGCCATGGCTGTCTTCGAAGGAGGCGGCTAGTAATACGTCCACGGAGACCGCAGGGTCGTGCAGATGACTTTGCGGCAGTGTGGTGGCGTGGATCCCAACGATGGACATTCTCCGGACGAATGGGAACTCCACGTTGATGGCCGACGGTATCCTCTAGCTCTTCGCACCTTCTCTTAGACATAGCTTGCCAAGGCGCTCTCTGCTTAGTGCTGGGGATGGCGTCTCCAAAATCGCTAAACGCGAACAAGAAATTCCAAGAAATGATTCGCACCACCGACGCTTTGGTCCGATGGAGTGGAGAGCTATCGGGTCGACGGTGCAGAGGATTCTGTCTAGCTTGCGCACCGGCATTCCACTCTAGACCGTGCCATGACGACTTGTTATTGGATGGTAGCGCGTTTCTAGGCTCGACCGGGTCGATTCGGGGACTTCGAGTAAGGTGCAAACTGAACCTCGAACACACCATGCGAGCGACGGGCTATAAAAGGCGAGGTTGGGAAGCTGAGGTGGGGGTCATCGCGCATCGCACCTGCAGCTCGCCGAGAGGTCAGTGTTTCAGGTTGAAATCTGCGTCTTCAGCGCAAACTTGCGACTTGCTGCATCCCTCGAGGCGAGGACTCTGCATGAACCCGAGGGTGAGGCGGGTGACACGACTGTGGAGATCATGATTACCCAATGTCAGAGGAGCACTGAAAGCAATGTTGTGGTAAATGTCCGGATTGTAGGGCTCAGGTATACAGTCGTGTTGTGGATGAATGATGAAACGTCTAGCGATTGGAAACTCCAACCGACCCAGCGGCCATATTCCGTTGCTCGGAAGTGACCCATCAGGGTGGACGTTTAGATGACGTTCGCTCGTCGGTGAAGAGCAAGCAGAAGTATGACATTCTTGAATCACGGGTCACATCTGTGATACTCCGAATGCAGGCTAGAAAGCTCTGAGCGATATGGCGAACAAGAAGCAATGTGTAGGTATTTTGAGTACTGCTTGAAAGTAGCAGTTGCTCGATAACTGGAGGGTTTGAGACGGGGGGCTGAGTGGCGGGGGTGCCTTTTTCAGGCCATACCCCTGAGTAGCTGTGTGTAGACGAGTCGGTGGGATAGCTGGAATAGGCAAGAAGAAGAGCGTAAAGTGAGAGGACGTCTATTCAGAGCAGGCGGGACGGGTGAGGTGTGGCGAAAAGGACACCCGCCAGAAGTTCTTCGCAACAAGCAAATTTCTCCGAGCATCTATACGAAGGGCTGCCCGGAGTTTATGCACAAGCGGACCGAGCTTGTAACAGGGATCAACCCCTCCGGACATTTGTGGCCAAGCTCTCTCGTATCCTGAACAGACGCATTGATCTTTTTCATGTGACCAACCCCAGGGCACCGGCGACCCCGTGACCCAAGCAAGTACAGAGAACAGGAGACCTCAGCTACTTCGTATGTACTGTGTACTCTGGTTGGGCAGAGTCAGCCTCGAATGGACAGCATCGAGGAAAGAAGCATGTAGATCCGCCCCATGGTGTTGCGGTCAATTCATCTCGAGACACACCCCGCTGATAGATTATATACAAAAGTCTATAAGCGAAGCTGAACAACCGCAGGCGTGAAACCTGGCTGAGCCAGGCCGGCAGCTCGTATTCGAGTCGACGCGCTGATTATTGAGATGAGGTCGACTCGAATCTCTTATTGAGCCCAGCGGTAGGGCTAAGACAGTACCAGGCACCTACAGTAGGTAGGGTCTCTCGTTAAGTACGGAATATGCTTCATCCAACCAGCATTGACAGCAGCCCGAACGGACCGCAAGATGAAGCCCGGAGTGTCCCATAGAAGAGGTTCGTACCTGGATTCAGGTTGCACTAATTCATGGCCGGGAGCAAGGAGGTACTGGGTACCTCGGCATCCGGCCCGCATGGAGAGAAATGGTTAGGTCAGTCCAACAATCTAAGCACGCGCTGGCAGCAGCCAATCGACAATTTAGGCCACTGTCCAAGCCGTGCTATCCCCGAGGACTCATTTTATCCTTCCCACAAGAATCCTTTTGGAACTCAAGGCTTACACGATAGATCCAGCTGTGCGGATTTCAGGTCCACAGTATGCACTTGCAGAGTGACACTTCAGGAGAGATTCGAAGGGTGCTGTCGATGAGTGATGAGCTACGAGGTACAGCGATAACCGCCACACAGTCCAAGTATCTACGCGTGGGGTGAATAAAATCACTGTCGCATCCCACAATTGGACCTCATGACCCAAGCCGCATGGCTCCACTCTGGCCTGGCCCTGTCGCATAGTACTTAGTGTGTAGGTAGGAAGGAGATAAAATTCACCGGGTCTGACGGGGGAGGGGCAAGTCACTTGACGGCCGCCCAACGTACCCAGTACTAGGGCACTCGTACCTGCGTCTCCCAAGCTCGACTCCTACCAGCCCGCCATTCCGTGCAAAATTGCGGCAGGAGATGCCCCATTACAAACCGATCTCTACTGTGCTCTGCCAGCGTCATGCCAGAAGCGGCCTGGAAGTTTCTTGACGAGATATCCAATTGATGATATGCTGGGGTAATGGGTATTCTCGTCGCGAGACTGCCACCCTCGCTTACCCCTAGCCTTTGAACAAGCATTTCATTGTCTCCTCCATCGAGCATTGGGTGAGTATCACCTGGATAAATTCATCAACGGGTTTCCACTTGTGCCCACATCTTGGAAGAATTTGTAGCAATAGTATCACGTTCTATCGATCCTCAGCTGCATCCGAGTGTATCATGTATTCCGCCCCATAATTGTACAAGCCAGGTATTTCCCGTGGTCCGGGCAAGAGCCTCGAGTAGGTGAATGTCCTGCCTGGCCGTTGTCATTATTCGTCTGATAGTTGCCCTTTCTCTGCGTGCCCAGTACCTTGTCTCGGCTGCGATCTAATACCTGAGGCTCGCCGACGGAGCGTTGCCATCCTTGATCTTTTGGCCTCAGTGTCGGTGATCTCTCTTCAACCGACTCGACAATCAACGGAGCGAGCGTCCAGCCCCGATTTTTCTGTCACTCGAAAGTCTCCCTTCCACGCCTGTCCAGCTGCGCCTCCCGCGTCGCCATCGCACGTTGTCGGTGACAGAGCTCGAATCGCATTGCGCGAATCCCATCTGCATAGCAAGTGGCAACCGATCTACTGGGAAAACGCCTCCACGCCTCAAGGTACTCGTAGGCGTGCGCTGAAAACTGGATACGGCGTACGTACCAGTCACAGGCAGTCCCGTAGGCTCGGGTTGGCACCTAGCCCGAAGCGGCAACAGGGCGGCGACAGGGGTCACGGAGCTCTCCCAGGCACTTGCAGGCTTCAAATTTTAGGGCCCTGGAGCCCAGCGGCGAGCAGCCCGCCGCCCATAGCCCACAATCGTCCCATCAGCTACTCGTAGCTAGAGCTAGCTCCCTTCCATTCTTCCTCAACGCCTTGTCGACGGTCGGACCAGCATCATCCACATCAACCTTGCCTCACCTTCACCTGACCCGACCCGCACCGTAACCTTCTGCTTCTGGTCGTCTTCCAATCCTCCGCCAGCGTCCAGTCGCCTCCACCTTGCCAGGTCAAGCCAGGCCCCTCTGTGTCTTAACCTAGTTGTCCAGCGCCGATCGACAGCAGGGCATCTGGGAGACAAAGCACGCTACTGCTATCTCCTCCATCACCGCTGCTAGCTCTGCCGGCTCTGGCCTGGTTACCGGGACCCCAAGAAGTTATCTGGCAGCGCCCGCTCAACTCCATCCGCCATCCGACCATCACACACTCTGACCTCACCTCTTCTACCACTCTTCCCTGATCGACATCCTAGAACATCCCTCTGCCTCATCTTCTCCAGCCTGCCGCCTTGCCCTGGTTTGAACACTCGCATCGTCCGATCTGACCTGGAGTCCCTGGAGGATGATCGGCCCCCGAAGCAGTTTTCTATAGCTACGATTCGCCTTTGGGCAGCCATTCCACAGTCTCGAAGCTCAGTCCTCGGTTGCTTCCCCACTTACGCTCCTCCAAGAAGCACATCACCACCTCTCTTTAGACCATTTTTGCTCGAACATAGCCAGCATAGCTCAGCAAGAGCCACCCGAGATATCCCTTTTTGCTGCCCAACGGCAGGGTCACTCTCCTTCCGAGGCCATGCGCCCATCCAGATCTCGGAAATAGACTTATCGACTGGGCAGCGACACCGAGCTTCTTCGCGACGTCGCGACCCAATCCCCCAAAATTTCAGACGACAATAGCCGCGCCATCCGCAATCCTGCATAAACCTGACCTCGAGCTCGCATCCTTTCGAGATCTGTCCAGGACGCTCCAATTTGTTTGTTCATGGGAGGGTCAGTTTGTTTGCTTTGTTGATTACTAGACGACCTCCAACACCTCGTCTGGCACCTCCGACCACCAGCTGCATCCCACTCTCCAGCCACCGGACTGTCATCAAATCCGCCTGAGCGATAATTCTGGTTGCGCCGATTCCAGGTGGGTTTGCTCTTGTCAAGGAAAGACATTTCGCAAAAGTAGCAAACCCTCGCCACGCGCCGCGCTCTTTTTGGTCTCCCATTTTTCCACCAACCGACGCTTCCCTTGCCGACTGGACCCCAGGTAGCCGACCTGCGCACCAGGAATCGGACGTGCGACTACAGGAATTTCATGCAGCCTGGCGCATGTGCCGTAGAAACGATCGGGCCATGAGCATTTCCTGTTGATCGTGTGCGCCGCTTTCGCCTGTGCATAAGGTCATGCCGCATTTGTCGTACCACGTTCCCTTGGGTATAGAGAAGCGGGAGGTACGCCCTTGTTGGTTGTCAGGCATAGGATCCCAGGTTGAAAATGGATGAAGTTGGTGACGTGGATATCAAGCACGAGCGGTCCAATCTGTACGGCCACCCACCGCCAAACCACATCCACCGTATGCCGCCAGCCGAGACCCCTACGTCGTACAGTTATCCTCCTCCACCAGGCGCAGGTATGCCACCGCCAGGCCAGGCGTGGAACCCGACGCCCTCACCCTACAATGACTCTGCAGAACATCGTCCGCCGCCACCGGACATGGCTCACCCTTCACCATATCCACCACCACCTCCTCCTCAATCATATCCTCCGTCACTTCCGCCCCCAGGTCGCGAACCTCCAGGTTATCCTCCGGATCCAGGCTACGGACGTCCAGGAAGCGTGTCTGGCCCTACTAGGTCGCCGGCGGAAGTTCAACAACCTCCATACCATCCTGTGAGTACTAACCCCCACGAACCTTCGTACTATCCCCCTGCGGACTACAGGCCGCGTCATGAATATCCAGGCCCACCGCCCCAACCCAACGGTACTCATCATCAGCCCCCTCTGCATGTCATGACCGGCGGCCATGAGATGATGCCCGGACAGCCCCCAGGACCGCCCAACTATGGCCCTCCTTCGGCAGGGCCACCTCCATCTGCTGGTGGCTACCCGTACGTGTATTCTGCGCCATACAACGACCAGCAGAGACGGAAAGCGGTGCGAGCTGCACAAGCATGTGACTCGTGTCGACAACGCAAAGCGAAATGTGATGAGGGAAGACCCGAATGTCAACATTGCAAGGATAACGGGCTGAAATGCTCTTACCGAGAGATTCCTCCGCAGAAATCGGAGAAACAGGTCCTTCAGATCACCACGCAGTTGGATTCCCTGGCCGAGGACGTGAAGGTGTTGGCGCAAAAGTCGGAGGAACGGGAGGACAAGATCGACCAGTTCTTAATCCAGCAGAATGACAAGATGAACATGTTGCTGGAGCATTTCATGCAGAGCCGGCAGACGCCTGCTGCCACCATGGATGTTGCCATGACCGACCCACCAAGCCATACCCCGATGCGCAACCAGGAGCGACCAAGTCCCGCTCAGCCCCCACCGCCACCGTTTGGCTTCCGGCGACAGGATAGTTCAGAGGTCAGATTTGGCTCGCAGGCGCAAAATCCTTCCGCCGCATCCATCCAGCACATGCGGAACACTGAGACGGAGAGCCTCGAAGATACGCCTATGCCTGCAAAGCACACTACCGCCGCGCAGAATCTTGTCTTGTGGCCGTCAATCAAGGCCTTGATTCCGAAGGGAATCACTCCGTCCTACGTTATGGACGAGGAAACCTCAAGAGGGCTCCTTCGATTATATGGCTGTGGCGAGGGCGAAGACAAGGGTGACGGTCATGAAGGCGCGCCCAGCCCTGCTCACAGCAGTTCTTCCGAAGGTCGACGGATGGAGGAAGAATCTGCATCACCGCATGGCGTTTGGGGCAGTGGACAACTGCACGTGCCGTTATCCAATCAAAACCAAACTGCGCGGGAGCATCCTGGTGGCCTCAGTCCTGGCGGTGGACTAATGTTGGATTCGGATGCAGTCGACAAATATTTCCGCAGCTTCATGGACAACATGCACATCTTACACCCTTTCCTTGAGCCGAAAGTGTTGCGCGGCATGGTCCATGCATTCAAAAAGAAGTACAGCTGGGACTACCGGGCGACCCAACAGGTTGCAGCCATTGGCAACAAGCGCAAGCGAGAGACGACCGACTCGCCCAAGTCGATAGATGACTATAATCGTCAACCCACCAAAGTCTTTAACGCCAGTCAGGTCCCCTCAATTGAACATTCAATCAAAAATGCTATTGTCTTGCTGGTCGTGGCGCTGGGCAAAGTCTGTGCTCACCGGGAACCCTTGCCTGGCCCAGCGTCGACAGCCGCCATGCGCACTTCGACGCCACACAGTGCGCTGTACTCGGATCTGCCCCTCCCAGCGTCCGCTCCCACGTCGCCATACAACAACCAGGCCACCCTAAATGGCACAGTGTCAAGCCCAGCGAATCCGCAAGGCAAGAATATGGACATAATTCCGGGCCTTGCATACTTCGCCAAGGCTGCCGACATCTTGGGAGAACTGCCTGGTGGTGCCGATGTGTCGCACATTCAAGCTTATCTGCTTGCGGGCCTGTATATGGGTCAGCTAGCACGCATCATTCCGAGCTATTTCTACATCAACAAAGCTTGCATTGCAGCTCAGATTCTGATTGAGTCAACACCCTATGTGACCAATACCATGAAGCCGGCCCGGCGGAATCTGATCAACTTCGCGTTCTGGTCGTGCTTGCAGCTGGAAAGTGATATTGCGGCCGAGCTGGAATTGCCTCTTAGTGGAATCGGTCGATATGAGAGTCCTCAGCACAAGGAGTTTCCGACCAAGATCACCTTGGATGCCATACCCGAGTCTAGCGCCGACGATGACATCCTCAGATTCTACTCGTACCAGATCCAGCTCCGGACCACAATGAACAGTGTACACGCCACACTCTACCGGGAATCGAAGAACCTGCAGACGCGTCCGAGTGACAGCATCATGTCTGCGCTGGACGACAACTTGGAAAACTGGAGAAAGATGCTGAATGACTGGGACTGGGACGACAACGACCACGAACACCCAAACATTAACGTGGCCCGGATGCGAGGGAAATACTACGGAGCCAAGTACATCATTTGGAGGCCGACTCTGCGCTTTGCTCTATCACAAGCGACCCACGGCCCGAGACTGAAGCGGCCGTCGGAATCGCCTGCGGGATATGGCCAGGGGTCCGAAGTCACATCACCCTCGGTCTCGAATCTCAACTCTTCTCAGCCAGGTGCAAAGGATTACCCATTCATTCGCCCGGAGCTCCTCGAGGGCTCGAGAAAGTGCATCGAAGCGGCAATTCGCAGCACCACATCCTTTGACAAAGTGCCCCGCCGTCTGGTCGTGACCAACATCTTTGGCACGACACACGCGTGAGTAACATATCCCGCTCGTCATGATTGGTGTACTGACAATGGCAGGCAATTCGGAAACATGCTCGTCCTGTATGCGACCTTTACCTCGCCTCATCCGGGCCTCAGTTCCCTCGTGCAAGAGGACGTGCTGCGACGACTGCACGATCGCACGGTCCGGATCTTACGCGAGAGCGAAGCCATTTCGCCGGTCCTGGCCAAGGATCTCAAGATCCTGGAGCATGTGCGGAGGCAGGTGTTTCCCCCCTCGAACTACCCTCCGGGTAGCACTGCCTCGAGCTTCTCGAATCGGTGAGCTCAAGCGAGTCGCGGACCGGCCCGAGCAGATTTGATGTCCCTTTTGTACATGTACACATTGATTTCCCGGGCGGAGCTCTGTCAGTAAGAATTTCTTGCATGTGTTGCGCTATACGTGTGTGTTATGTGGGCAGGTTCCTCCATTTCCGGCGAAAGTCGTGACGGCATTTGTCAAAGCGTTCCGAGCGAAAGAATACCAATATCGTCAGCATCGTCGAGTGTCCGGCATTTTCGGGTGTGCGAAATCCAACCATCAGCAGCGGCAGCAGACAAGAAGCCCACCACCATATCATTTTCCACGGAGTTTACGATCATACTGAAATTAAAACCTGTTTTCTAACGGCCTATGGGAGGACATTTGTCAAATTGTCGATTGTTTTTTCGCTATCTATCGCTGGTTGCCCCAACATCGCCGCGTCCTAGCTTGTATATGTGGAGGAAGAGGAATGTACAGCTACACGAAGGATGGTCGGGCGGCAGAATCACCAGCAAATTTATTACCATTGTCACATACTATATACCTGGTTTGTTGGACAGGGGAAAGAGAAGGCGAGAGAAGACAGGCGAGCAGCAGCAGTAGCAGGTGTGTTGAGGGGACAGACATAACGGGGGGAGCTGCTTTTCTTCGGAGTCGCGCAGGTCTCAACACAGGCGGACGGAGGACGGTCGGTCGGTCACAAACAGGTAATTGAATTCACACTGTACGAGTACACTATCTATCATACATACATACCAAACCTCAATGTGAATCATGTAGGTTTTTGGACCCGGGATAACAGATCCGGAGTACACTCGCATAGACGCGCATATTGTCGGACGTGGCACCTTCCGTACCACAAGTGTGTAACTCGTACGAGTAAGAGTGGTCGACGATCGCCCACTGATCAACCCCTGTTCCTCCTGAGGTACAAAATGATCGTCCTCGCCTGCTGCCCGACGCGACGCGCTATGTAACATCTGGAAGGAGGAATTGCGTACCTTCCCAGCCCCTCCTCCAGCGATCCCGCGGAGATGCCTCCGCTCTTCGCCGTTTCGTGTCGCATCGAACGATGAACGCAATAATGAGCACGGATATACAGTATAAGTTGCGAGTACGAGGTCCATATGTGCCTAATTGCAGTGGGAATGAGGGTGAGTCTCAGCAGACAGAATCGCTCCGAGTACCGAGCCGCGCAGCCGCGCAGCTCAGCCACGTTCGGAGCGGATGAATTCCGGCGCAGCTCGCTTGGCGTTGTCGGCCTTGAAATTTTGCGGCATGCGGGGATTTCGAGGCTGCACCGCCACCTGCGCCACAGCATGTGGCGGGGCAGCACTTTCTTGCACGTGTCCCTGGCGTGGATTGCCATGATTTTTATGGATTTTTGCAACGTGGACATTGGAGCAAGATCAGCACCGCACGTACCCTATCAATATCGACATCTATCCAGCACCGACAATGACAATAGATCGCACGTCGGCCATGACCATGGTACATTGTTCGCGGCCCGGGCTATTCAGTAATGCTTCTTCGGTTTAGAAATCTGTCGTCTACCGCCTACGTTCCCCTTGGGCCTTCACATTAACCAGTGCATCTCCACTGTATGTGTAGGGACTCCCGCCGACTCGGAGCAGAAACCTCTCGATCGTTTCATCCATGCAGAACAGCACTCGTTGGAGGTCGTTGGTGTGGGCCAGGAGGCAGATGGACTTCCACGTTCCAACGACGAAAACTGCGTCCGAGGCAAGCGACATCATGGTACTGACGTTCCGCCGCTGGCTCATGGGTGAGTCGACAAGCTTCACTTCACTCCGTGGTAGACACAGAATGGCAACCTTCCGCGAGAGAGCTTGTGTGGAAGCGATGTGTTCGATGGCCACGCCGCACCAGCCACTGCTCTTGGACTTGGATGTGAGGAGATCGTGATACTCACGCGCGCCATGCACCACGACTATCTCATCTGCTTTGCACGAATCGCTCTGAAGCAACGCGTTCACGATGACCTCCACACAGCTAACTTCGGGGTCGATGCTTTCATCCTGCTTATCGCGGACGTCAAAGAAATGCGCGAACGAAGAGATCCTCGCAGTGTCTCCAACACTGTCCTCGATCTCCACACCCTGGTCGAATCTTGTCAGGAGTTTGGTCAAGAATGGCCCTGGGTCGGCCGTGCTTCGAGCCGCTGTAACTAGGCCGTGATAGAAGACAAAACTTGTCGGGTACCACAGGTCCGAGTGCGTCAAGTAATTTATGTCGAGCAGTTGCTGGGGCCATCCTCTGTCCATCATGCTCTCAAAGATCGATCTCTCCCAAGCGACGCGTCCCGTTGCTGTTGATGCTGAAGGACTATTTTGGGTGTGGTCGCCCAGGAGAACCAACCTGTTCAGGGATTCTAAGTGCGCCGAGATCGGAACAATTAATTCATAGTGCCTGATTCTGCCAGCATCGTCACCAATAAGGACCTGAGGATCCCATTGTCTCAAGAGCCGCCCAACCCCGGACGTCGCGTACGTGCAAATAACGACTCGGACATCGTGGAGCTCGTCTGTCGTGCGTGGCAAGAACCGCAGATGTTCGAACCGGAAACCGCATAGATGTCGACGCATGTTGAACCCGGAATCGATTTTGTCAGCTGCGGCATTTGACCTCGAGCAGATGAGGACCTTCGTTGTCGGAGCTTTACGTAGGATGGCCTCTGTCGCAAAAACAATGGTGGCCGTCAACGCACAGCCATTGGGAGCGTGGATAAGCGACGCTGTGTACACGAAGATGTTCCGAATCGCGCGCTCCTGAGACGGGTTGATGTCGTCGAAAGGCGAGAAATCGACCGAATAGCCCTTTTCTGCGAGTGGCACCACTTCTTTGACGGCCTTCGCTTGGTAATCAAACACCGCACTAATGGGTATCCGATATGTGGTGTTCGACTCCGGTCCTGATAATGCAGCCCTCATTGCTCTTACCGCCGCCGTTATCGCTTCGCCGTCTACTCCTTCGGCTTTTATGGCGGCTTCTTCGGTGTCGAGGAAGGCCTTCATATGCGGGTCACGCGTCTCCGGGGTACCTAAAACATCCTCCATCACCACATAGTGATCGGGCTGCTGGGTATCTTTGCGGGTGTGGGCAAGCTTTGCTTCGGTTATGAGTCGGATAATCGAATCAGGACGCCATATCCGGTCGCGAGAAGCGTCCAACAATTGCAGCTTGACCCGACTAAACAGCTTGTATGATCGAGCGAGAGGGAAGAGGTTGGTGGTAGCCAAAGAGTTCCGCTGTGCGTCATTCGCACGAGAAAGGCTAGCAGTCGGTGAATCGTCAAGCATGCGCACAACGAGCTGCGTATCCGGTTCGCCGCGAACACTTGGCGTCCATGAGTCGTATCGCGGGTCTAGATAAACCCATTCACCTCCAGCGTTGCGCTTCTTCAGGGCCTCGAAAGCAACCTGCTTTGGCTCGTATTCGACTGAGAACCTGTGGTTGCCAATGGTGTTCCAGATTTTCACACTCCCATCATAACGGATCTCACAATGGTATTCGGAACGGGGGCTGGCAGACCCTGTCCCAAGATCGATGAAATTGCTGGCACTCTCACCCTCGATCTGGTAAGAAAGTCGTACGCGCGACTCGACAGAGTCACACAAGGTTTGGGAGTGCTTGCTGTCTGGGTGGCTGTGGAAGGACATGGTTCGACGGTCAGTGGAAAGGGACATCGGCCACTTCTTGACAGTGACATGCAACAGGGGGAACCTTCATCGGGTCTATGAGGATCGAGACATGCACATCGGCCTTGCGTCTTCGAACATTGAGGTATTGCAGTGATTTGGCCGCTTCCTAACTACTGCATATGCGCAAGAGCTGAGCAGAAAGGAAGTGAGCTTGCGTAGGTTCAGCGTCTCTCGGCAGACCTGGCGGACGGCTAGAGGCAAGAAAGACACTGCACCGGCCTAGGACGCGTCTCTCAGGTCTTCATCCGGCTCAGGAGCGGTGAGGCTGAGAACGGTGTGGAGCTTAAAGGAGTAGAGCACAACTCCAACGGCAACGCTGTTCTGAAAGGACCATTCATGGGGCTTTTGAGAAATCCACTATGTAGAGAATGCTTTGAACAAACTGAATGTCGATGGGAGTTTGTTGCGAAAACCACACAGCGCATGCAGCGTTGGAACTGTCCTGTGTTAGAGTGGGAAGTATGGAGTAGGTCCACCGGCAACGTAGAGAAAATGCACGCTATTGAGTATGTAGGCAAAGGTGTGGCTCGGGGCTCTAGAGAACGCGGTACTCGTACTGCAAGACGGAGGGAGCTGAAGAAAGAGCGTATCTCATCGTGAGAAGGGGAAGTGGAAGTTACCCAAAGTCGCTGCCATGCATGATTTGATTGGCCAAAGAAACGCGTGTATCAACCGCAGCAAACTGCGCAAAGGCTGCCAGGGTGTGAAGCGGACTCAAAACGTGGCTGTTCTGCAGAACAGGAGGTAGTCAACGACACGGGGCTTGTTGACTTTCTGATGTTCTGCGACGAGGGAAGATCTTGCTCGGATCACTTCTGCTGCCGTTCATTTCTCCGTCAGATGAGGTACGGAGTATGCAACAAGCAATGCTGCAGAGATCGCCAGGACGGCGAGGCGCAGAAGCAGGAACGGAACCTGCAGCACCTGTTTTGGGTTTCATTACGCCATTCTCTGCCTGAGCCAAGATATTAAGTGCGAGTTACACAGTCGTGATAGTACTCAGTCCGGTAAAGGCTGAGAGCAACAAGGCTGTAAGCGGAGTTCCAGGCATCCGCCGTCGGAATGGTGGGTACCCCGAAGTGAAGATCAGGTTCGGATATGGGGTTCCCGGCACTGAGTTGATCGCTGTGGTTGGTTCTGGTGGTGCCTGGTGGCCCTCGAGTCTCCAACCTCCAGTGAAATAAGGCCTGGAGAGGCTGAAGCGCCAGAAAGGCAAGGAAGACTAGCTCGGTTATCGCAAACGAGGCAGCAACGTCACTGTCTCACTCGGCACGCTTGAAAAGCTGCGCCCAGGCGTTCATGCAGCCTGCGATTACTCCTCATAGGCTGTCACGACCGCATTTCGCCTTGCATGCGATGAGTTAGGCGCTGAACAAATTCGAAGTACCTTCAATACGACCTTCTTCTTCTCAGTCGCAATCCTTTCCTTCTCCTACACATTCAGCAGGCTTTGCCAGTCAACATGGATCAGAACAACCTCAGGCGCAAAGACACCACCAAAGGCCCGCCTCTGCGCATCCTTTCACTCGGTTCGTGGGGCTCTCCGTATTGCCTGTGAGATATACTAACGGACGTAGATGGCGGAGGCGTGCGCGGCTATTCGATGCTCATTATCCTTCGAGAACTGATGCACAGAGTCTACGTCGAGACCGAAGGGAAACCGCCCGACGTGCAGACTGGCACCCCGAAGCCATGCGACTACTTCGATCTCATCGGCGGCACCGGCACGGGAGGACTGATCGCGATCATGCTGGGCCGATTGCGCATGGATCTAGAGACGTGCATGGACGTCTATGTAAAGATGACGAGAAAAGTGTTTGAGACAGACAAGACATTTGCAGGCATTCCCTACAAGCATACTCTTTTCAAGGCGTCCAAACTGGAGGAGGCCATCAAGTTATGTGTCCAGGAACACACGCTATTCGAAGACGAGGGGAACGATGGCACAGCATCTGGCGGTAGAGAGTTCCAAGACCTAACGAGCCCGCTGAGCGCCGCCAGCACCGCTGCAATGAGGAGGTCAATGAGCATCAGGAGCAACAACTCGATCAACAGTCCCTCGACCCCAATCCGCAACTCCATCGTCTCTCCGTCCTTCCCGGCTTGGGGCAACGCCAACGCAAGTCTATACGACCACCGGGAAAACCGAACCAAGACGTAAGTGAGCCTGTGTCGAACAGACTTGGTTCATAACTGACAGCTCTAGTGCGGTCACCGCGGTGGTACAAGGTACCAATCCTCGAACGGGTACATCTATCCTGCTAAGGAGTTACGACAGCCGCAAAGAACCCCCTCCTGAATTCAATTGCAAGATCTGGGAAGCTGGGAGAGCCACATCCGCAGTGGGTCTGGCCTTCAAGCCAATCCAAATTGGCCAGACCGTCTTCATCGACGAGGGCGCAGGAAAGTACAATCCAGCCCCACAGCTCCTCGAAGAGGCTGCAGTGAATGAGTGGCCGGGTAGAGAAGTTGGCGCATTTATCAGCATTGGCACAGGGAAACGTCCAGAAGGCACCAACGCCCGTCAACATGAGTGGTGGGAAGGATTCGTCGGGGGCAGTATGGGCGCTTTTGCCGAGGCTCGACGCCGACTTGTTGCTAAAATCGAGGGCTGTGAGGAGACACATCAACAAATGCTCAAGACCGAGCTCGCTAAGCGCGGAGTGCCTGTCGAAAACTACTGCCGGTTGAACGTCTCTGTCGGCCTGGGCGAGTTCGCCATGAATGAATGGCAGTATCTGTCGCCGATGACGACAAACACGAGGAAGTATCTGAATGAAACGCCGGTTCAAAAGGCACTGATGGAGATGGCTACAAAGATCGCCAGGATCGAGCTCATGAAACGTCGACAAGAACGCTTCGCCCAACACACCCAGGAGTCTACCTGGTCACTGAGACAGAATAACCTTCCTCCAACCCCGTCTCACCCGCAAGCGGTTGAGCTGCCTGCCGACGAGGAAACATACCAAACCACCCCTCCTCAGCACTATCGTGTTCCTGAAAACCCCCCATATCAAAAGCAGTATGCTCCATCAGAGGACAAGTTCGCATTGGTTCCTGGAGAATCAACTCCCCCACGGCTGTCGAGCGATTTGCCATACCGAGGAAGAGACGACAAGATGGTCGTGCACCAACCACCTCCCAATTCTGCATATAATCAATCGCAGCTACCACCCCCGAGACCTCCCAAAACTCCCATCAACGATCCAGGCCCTTCCGTTCGTCCTCTACATCATATCTCGCCCGTCAGGCCTTACGGCGCACCGCGACCTCCCTATCCGGACGACGACGAGCCGCCACCACAGGTCAACAGGTACAAGAAGCCAGAGTTTATTCCGAGATGAGCAGGGGAGCTGGTGGTGGTATTGTCTCTCTTCATCTACAATTTGCAATGACGGAAGCATTGGGAAGTCCAGCCGATCACAAATGATTGTACGAGTTCATGAATCTTGCTTTTGGTCACCCAGATACCCACACGAGCATATAGGTCTTGGTATACAACCATATAAAATATTTCCTTCAATAACAGGGGTGCAAATACCCACGTCTTGCCCGGGTTTCGCCTTTCAATACGGCGAGGACGGAGTAGAGATACCTGTAACTGCGTTCCGCCGTACATCTACTCCGGCGGAGCACAAACCCTGAGCCGCCCTTGCCACACCCCAGTTGCATTTGCTGTTGGTCGCTTGACTCGTACTTCAACTTTCTCTGTCCTGCTGCTCGGAGTACAATGTAAAATGCCGGCGGCCACGTCCCAGCCGCCGGTCAAGCTTTCGCTTCCCCTAGTGAGTCTTCCTTGATGTAGCACTATTTACGTATGAGGGCCACGACAGCTGCTTCCGCCCTTGATCGCTAACTGGTTTGTAGCAATTTCAGCAGGAAATCTATCAGCTCTTGCGTGCAGAAGATGTACTGGTCATCCTCGCTCGCGGGCTAGGCCTCCTGAGAATCGTGACTAATCTATTGCATACATATGATGCGGCTGGCAATTCGCTCGTTATCATCGTAGGAGCAGAAGATCGTGAAAATGAGTGGATCGGCGAAGCGCTGGCAGAGCACTATGCCATTTCCCGAACTCCTCTGGCGAAAGGCCTTCGAGTCATCAATACTGACAAGGCTACCGTAGCAGCACGGGAGAAGATCTACTCGGAAGGGGGCATCGTCTCAGTTACCAGCCGCATCTTGATTGTGGATCTCCTCTCAAAACTGCTGGACCCGGAAACTGTGACTGGGCTTGTAGTTCTCCACGCAGAGCGCGTTGTCGCTACCAGTATCGAAGCGTTCATCGTCAGAAGCTTCAGACAGCACAACAAAATCGGCTTCCTCAAAGGCTTTAGCGACTCGCCGGAACCACTGACCTCGTCATATGCACCTCTGGCAAGCATGATGCGAAACCTCTTCTTGAGAAAGCCTTCTCTATGGCCGAGGTTCCATGTCTCTATCGCGCAGAGCCTCGAAGGCAAGAAGAAAGCGGAGGTTATCGAGTTGGAGATTGAAATGTCAGCATCCATGAAAGCAATTCAGCAGGCCGTCATGGAATGCGTCGAGACCAGCATATCAGAATTGAAAAAGGCCAATTCCGGCCTGGAGATGGACGATTGGACGCTAGACTCTGCCCTGCACCAAAACTTTGACGCCATTGTTCGCAGGCAACTCGACCCGGTTTGGCACCGGATCAGTTGGCGGACGAAACAAATTGCAAATGACCTGACAGTATTGCGGACCATATTACACTCTCTTCTCAGCTATGATTGCGTGTCGCTTCTCAAATATCTCGACACTGTCCTTGCGACGCATTCTCCGCCCCCGAATTCCAGGCAGCAAGATCAATCGCCCTGGCTATACATGGATGCCGCTGCAGTCATCTTTAAATCAGCCAGAGGCAGAGTATACTCTGGAAAAGTCGAAGACGGGGGCGCACTGCCCACGTCGAAGCTGCCCGATTCTTTGACACCGGTCCTGGAAGAGCAACCGAAGTGGGCGGTCCTCGCGGAACTGTTACAGGAAATTGAGACTGATGCATATCTGACTCCGACACGGAGCGATTCCAACGAGACGATATTGGTAATGTGCAACGATTTGAGGACTTGCCGTCAAATTCGCGAGTATCTCCAGACCATGCACGTGAAGCCAATTCCCCAGGACACGAATGATGGTCGGGCTCCTCACGAGATAGAAGAGCAGGAAGCGAAAGGCTCCGCCGAATTTATGTTACGACGAAAGCTTCGGGAGTACCTAGTCTGGAGAGATACATTTACCCAAGTCAGCACCTCTCTCTTCGAAGAGAACCAAAAATCGCTCAACAACATCAAAGGTAACAATACTGCTTCTGCTCGCCTCAACAGCAAGGCACCGGCGAACAAGCGAAGACGGGTCAGAGGTGGAGGTGCATCAGGGCTCAATCCATTTCGCACGGCTAGCGGGGCGGTTGCCATGGTCGAGGACAAGGCAGCACACGTTGCCAGTCTCCTTGCCGATCTGCGACCTACAGGTGCCGAAGCTCTTCAGAAAGAAGATGTGATGGTTGACGATTTGATCGAAGCTGGAGAAGACTTCTTTGAGTTATATACTCCAGAAGACCAGATCGTTGTTCATCCATATGACGGCGACCAAGACGATCAACTGCTCGAAGAGATCAGGCCGAAGTACATCATCATGTTCTCACCATCCGCGGATTTCATACGGAGGGTCGAAGTGTACAGATCGAGTCATTCGGATCGCAGTGTTCGAGTTTATTTTCTCTATTACGGCAACAGCGTCGAAGAACAGCGGTACCTATCTTCAGTTCGACGGGAGAAAGACGCTTTTACAAAGCTCATCAAAGAGCGAGGCAGTATGGCAGTCACCCTGGCGGATGCTAATGTTGACCCTGAGGAGGCATTTCTGCGTACTGTCAATACTAGGATTGCAGGGGGCGGAAGACTCGCAGCCACGGCAGCCCCTCCACGGGTGGTTGTCGATGTCAGAGAATTTCGTTCATCATTGCCAAGCTTGCTCCACGGCCGAAGTATGCAAATAGTGCCGTGCCAACTTACTGTTGCCGATTACGTCCTATCACCAGACATTTGCGTGGAACGAAAGTCAATCCCGGATTTGATTGGTTCTTTCAACAATGGACGACTCTACAATCAAGCAGAAACGATGCTTCAGCATTACACGTATCCGTTCTTGTTGATTGAATTTGATCAGAACAAGTCCTTCACCCTTGATCCATTCGCCGACTTATCCGGCACGTTGAAAGCGCCCGATGCCGAGACGAGGAGCTTGCAGACGAAACTTGTTCTTCTCACGATCCGGTTCCCCAGACTGAAGATCATCTGGGCTTCGTCACCATATCAGACTGCCGAAATCTTTGAAGAACTCAAGAAACAGCAGGAAGAGCCAGATCCGTATAAGGCAGTACAGATCGGCTTGGCCGCTGGCGAAGATCCGGAAGAGAGAACGTTTAACACGGGACCCCAAGAGTTGCTGCGAGCGATACCGGGTGTCAGTGACAAGAATGCGAGTCGGCTGTACCTCGAAACTAGAAACGTGTTGGAGGTTGCCAACATGAGCCTCGAAGAGCTTGATCCCCTTGTTGGCCGAGAATCTGGCCGGCAGATTGTCCGATTCTTCACTCGGAGGGTTGGTGACGAGGATGATCAGATCATGTGAGCCATTGATCGGGTTACAGAGCATCAACCTTCAAAGCAGCGATTGTTGAAGGTCAAGTCGTGATCTTCTCTGATTTACGAGAGAGCACCATCGTCAGATAAGGCAGGGTGCTCAAATCCCTTTCGATTTCAAAATTTTCAAGGCTTGGACGAACACTCGGTCGATTGGAGCGTACACCACCTCAGTACGATACAGGACGGGGTCAATGTACGCATCTCACAGCCTCCTCGGACCCCGGTATTCAGCTCGCACTGACGACTCGGATTATCGTGCATTGACGTGGCTTCACGATGCCAAATGACCAACCCCAGGGCCCGCGGCTTATGCGAGAGCTCCTCCTTGCCCTATACTGCTACCGACGGTGTGCCCGGGCCCATGGTGACGGGTGCTGCGTCGCAGTATCTGCTGCGCTAGCTTTTTCTCCCACGATGTCTTCAGTTTACAGTTGTTGCTGTTCCGCAGCACGCAGACGCCTGATATGTTGACGATCGCTCAGGGTGGAAGCCCAACGAGCGGATCGGGGCCATCAAGGTAACAGGCGCGGCCAGGCGGAGGCTGGGATCTCAGATATGGCTACTAAGCGAAGTGGCAGTTCTGTATGTGGTGTCATGCAATAGTGGCAGTTCGTCAATGGAAAGCCGGCTCCAAATTACCCATGCGGAATCACCAACGAAACGAGAGGATAATTCGCAAACTAAAAATCGGAATCAACATGCGTAGCAGCATTCGTGCAAACAAGAACGGTTTGCGAACCTCTAATTCAAACTGAATCCAGCGCCCGAACTCCCATCGATCATGATCACGGTCGTATTTGTGTAATGCTGTTCATAAGACTGCTGCACCACCACATCAAATGCATCGTGGCAGCCACGTTAATGTGAATGGATGCAAAAACAACGCCGCTCTCCGTCTAGATGTCGTCGATGTCGACATCCTTGTCCGAGTCGCTGTCCCGATCCTCGTCGAACTCGACGTTGTCGTCAACGCCCTCGTGACCGTAGGTATCCGTCTCGTTGATCTTCGCACTTTCGGGCAATTCGCCGTACGCCTTGAGTGATCTCGCCTCATCGGCACTGTACTTCAGAATCACATCGCCCTTTTCGTCCTGATAATCCCGCAGCGACAGCAAGATGATGTCTCCCTGGTTGATCCAGACCTTCTTGCGCAGTTTTCCGCGAATGTGAGCGAGGCGCTTCTCACCGTCGAAGCACAGAGCCTCGAGCCGGCCGTTGCCCAGCATCTTCAGGACCTGAGCATATTCTTGCCCCTCTTCCTTGAAGGTGAGTTCGCGCTTTTCGTTGTCGTTTTCGTTCTTGCCTCGACGTCGATTTTTACCTCCCTAGACATATGTTAGTTAGTATGAATGTCCGGGGTTCTGTGTCAATGTGGTTGTTGGTTGCCGTTTGTGGCTCTCGCCGGCGGCGGGGTATTTTGTGTGGAATGAGGCAGGGCGCATGCGGTGTGGCGGCTGAGAAAGTGGGATGTTGCGGACTCACCTTTCCCTTATTCTTAGGCATGTTGATGGGTCCTCAGTAGGGGAGTGTATTGTGCTATCCGTGTGGAGTGATGGTCGGTTCGCGAGAACTTGTTCTACAGGACTTCGTCTTGGAGGGGTGGTGCAGGTTGATTTTGGGAAGAATGACTGCGAAATCAAGCGAAGATCAGTGCGCGGCGGTTGACGTTGTTTGTGCCTGCGCCTGCAACGGGGCTCGCCGTCATTGGGCGCGGCTGTCACTAAATTAACGTTAGGCCGTGATTGGCAGGCCCCAAAAACACTCCTGACAGTCCTTGCATTGTTCGATGGGCGCCGAGGCTGCCTCTCCAAATCCCTTCTCTTGCCAGGGAAAGATGTATATTCGATGGCACCTGTGGCGACCAGTCGCTCTTTCAGGACCCTCCAGATCCCAGCAGCGCTCGGCTTCGGTTTAAAAGCACGTTACACCCCCATCGAGAATGTCCCGACCCTCTTCGACCATAAATTCATCGTCGACCGCTACAGCCCCAAACGCGCTGCCGTTGTCGACTATTACTCGCGACTGCCCCCTGACAGACTCTCCTGGCGCGTCATCACCAACATAAGCTCCAAGCAGATCAACAAAGCCGTGCTACGCAACCGCCTGAAGCGAAGATGGGCTAGCGCATTCGCAGAAGCGCTGAAGAACCATGGCTACTATCACAATGGGAGGAAGCGAAGAGGCCCGAAAGAGGGCAAGAAATATATACCGGGTCTGACGGGCACGCTTGAGATCCTCATCTTCTCCGATCGTGGCATCACTTGTCCTCACAGCGAACTTGTGGGCGCGTCTCATGCCTTGGTCAAGTCTTTGGTCCGGAAGGTGCAACAACTGGCACCCAAAGCTGAATCCATCCAAGACAACGACGCTCAGGATGTTGGAGGGAGCAATAAACGTGCTGGAGGAGTTTCGTCCTCACTTTGGTCTCTCTGGCGAAAACTCCTGTGAACGAGCTGATCGTACGCTTTGGCAAACGAGTGGTTTTCGCATGATCTCCCAGAAATGCTTTTCCAACGGCACTATCTGCGCTGCGTCCTTTTTCTAGACGCAGAGGTGGCTCCTCAGAGGATCAATCCTTCCGACGATCTGGAATACAGCGACCCTGTTTGACTTGAATTCAGGTGTTTGGTGATATCAATGACAGAGGGAGCGTCGCCTTCCATGTCTGGCCGCGAGTGGGCTCCGTCACAGCTGGCTCACCAGAGCTTGTCAAGCTCCTCGACAAAGATATGGCCTTCCACCTGTTACTCCACCTGTTACATGGAAGAGTGGTTCCAGAAAACGACAAGAGTGGTGAGACAATCAGACAAGTACATTGAAGATCCTCCTACTGCGCCGTCGCCTTACAGAACGTGCACACGAGTGCTTCTGGACTCACCTCGATGTTCCTGGCATACCATACAGGGAGATGAGCCGACAGCGGCCAACCTCATGGTCGAATATCCTGCTCTTGATATCGTAGAATCAGGAGGAAGCTTGGGCGACGGGTGATGTCAATAATGGGGGTTTCATGTGGAGAAGAACATGTGCTAGGTGTGCAGCGTCCAGTGTCTCGTGAGGGTCCCTCAAGACCGAATGCTATGTTGTGATAGGACATAAAGCTCCTAAGCTAGGGTGACATCTTTCAACAAGCCAGATAACGTTACCATTGCCTGCTCATCGGTGCTCTCTCAGTATGCCTGATCCCCACGACGAGCACGGGGATCCGCATAATCACGTGACCCGTCATTTCCGTTGACTTTCCGTTATGCTGAAGACGCGACACCCAACTGCTCACTCTGATTTCGCCCGTGCCCTTCGAGTCGATCGCTTTAGTGTCTCCTCGCCTCCAAAGCCATACCTGAGCTTTCAATATGCTAGTGTCCTTGACAGTGGGCAAGGTTGACGCAGGAGTTGCGGTCCTCCTCACCCAAGACAAGAGACTGGTGAGGTGGACAAGTCGCGAACTGGCGCATGGTGCTCACATTTCGCGTTAGATTGAGTTTCCCTCCATCCTACTCCCCTCGACCATCACCTCCGGCTCAATCGTCGATATCGAAGTCAAGCAGAACCACGAAGCAGAACAAAAAGCACAAGCGGCGTTCGCGGCGCTACAAAGCCGGATACTCAACACGTATGGGATCAACGTGCCAGCAACGCCTGTCCTCCGACTACGGAATGCCACTCAAACGTCTCTCGTCCTCGAATGGGACCCTATTCATTTGGCGACCACAAGTCTGCGTTCGCTTTCTCTCTACCGCAATGGAAGCAAAGCAGGAAATATTCCCCGGCCTTTGGAGACGCTGAGCACAAAGATGAGCGGGCTGCAGATCGACACGGAATACTCGTTCTACCTCGTACTCAAGACAAGCGGCGGCGTCTATACCAGTAACACCCTGACCGTCAAGACGCACACCATGAACAACTTGACCGGCATAACCGTCACTCCTGGAATACTTCCTCCACAACTGAGGGAGAGCCTCGAAATGGCCATTGAACGCATTGGAGCCAAGATGAACGACACCATCAGAATCGATACCACCCACTTTGTTTGCACCGAAGGTCGTGGTCGGGAGTGGGAAAGGGCAAATGAAATGAATATCCCGATTGTGAGACCCGAGTGGGTCGAAGGTTGCGAACGGGAAGGCAAGATCATCGGTGTTCGTGGATACTATCTCGATGCAGATCCGAAACAGAGACAAGTCGGATCTAATCCTTCTCTGGCGCAAGCTCGCCCCTCTACAACGAATGCGCCGCAACAAAGCAATATTCCTCAACGGCCGAAAGACCCAACCCCCAAAAGCCCTGACCGAGAAAGCAGAGTCAGCGGAGAGCCGGGTCCAGAGATGCTTCCCACGCCTCCACTGGGCAAGGACTTACCACCAACGCCGGCCGACGATAACGACGATGACGGGGGGGAGGAGGAAGAAGAAGAAGAAGAGGGAAAGGGAGAGCCGAAGGATCCTCAGGGACCAACAACTGAATCAAAAGGAAAGGGAAAGGCCACTGACGAAGAGCCAGCAGATGCGGACGAGGACGAGGACGAAGAAGAGCCGCCTGAGCCCCAACACCCATCTAAACCCAAGGATGGGAATGGCGCCGAGATGGAGGATGTCGCATTATGACGCCAGAATCGATATGATCTCAGACATGTTCTCGCTCAGGAACTCATGTGAGATGGATGGGTCAAAGAAAGACGCGGACTGATGCATTCCGCTCGACTGCGACCGTGGTGACTTCTTCTGTACGATCCAGCTGGCCATTGAGCAGTAACACATCTCCATCTGGATCAATATCAGGCACCACAAGACAACAAGCACGTGAGGTAATGCCAGTGCGCACGAAAAACATCATTTCTGGGCACAGCTTCAGTCTTTCGGGAAGAAATCTGATCTGTGGCTGTTTGCCTTGTTCAGATGCGGACGGCCATGAGTAATCGGCACCCATAGTCAATGCAAACAGCTTGCTGCAGGACATTACAGGCATAGTTACGAAGAGCAAGAAGGCTTGAGAGGGGCTTTCGTGCTCAGGATGTCCGCGTCCCAATCCTCGAGAGACTATGTACCACGATGCATGGACATTAGACCAACACCACTGCAACAACAAAAGATAGCCGTCCTCGGCAAGCCACGGAAACCCGAAGAGTCCTTAGTTGCAGCTGTGGTGGTCCTATTTCCGTGTGTCAGCGTGTATTGGGGTTGAACCTCGTACCCAGCCGCAAAGTTGGTTGGCGATTTGGCCATTCAGAGCTCAGCCTCATGCTGCGCATCTGCAGCCAAGCACCCGCAGAGAAGAAACCCTCCCATTGCTGCACAACTTGGTGTCGCTGCGAGTAACACCTGACCTTGGATTCTGGCTCGTACTCTTTTCGAAGTGTGCCACGCCAGACTCGCTTAGAAGCTGTTGCAGCGTGCTCAGCCGTCAGTGGGTGTCTAAGCTGCTGGAGTCTAAGTATCCTGAGTATAAGACGGCCTGGACACTTGCCTTGTCCAAACGTCTCTTCCTCCCAGCATCCCAACTGAATACATAGCAACAACTGCTAAACCAGTACTCTCCTTATTTTCCTTTCCTATTGTCAGTCTGTTTCTTGTCTCCTTGACACGCTCATTATCCAATTGTAATCGACACTGCACTCCTTTCAGCGTATTTCATTTACCCTACCTTCGTTCCAGCCAAGTCAATACTAGCAGTCAGTTTCTACCCTTGACCAAGCACTCGAAGGACGTAAAGCACAGTCCAAAATGTACACTCAATCCATCGTCGCCGGTCTCCTCAGCATTGCCGCCTTGACTACTGCCGCACCTCTCACTGCTCGCACCGAGTCCGGCACCTATGCCTCGAATAATGGCACATTGATCACCACTTCAAGCACTCTGACAATGGGCGTCACCTCAAGCGCCAGCACCAGCCCTGTCTCGAGCACCCCCGCCCCGGCGCCCTCCTCCAACACTGGAGCACAGCCTGTCGCCTCGATCCTCCCAGACTTCACCTCGCAGTACACCGCTTCCACGGGCGCCATCGACTTCCACACCTCCCGCGGCCTGGTCTCCCGGCTCCCCCAAGACGGCGGCAAAGACATCACCACGCTCGTCACGTTCGAGTTGCCAACCCAGTACGCCGACCACGAATGCCAACTCATTTTCGACCAGGGCAACGATCCGTCAGGCTACGTCACGGGCACGGGCAAAGCACAGCTCTTCACTTCCCTAGCCTCGGCCGACGAAGACTCAGCGACATGGCCGAGCGGGAACTTGAGAAACCAGAACCTGGGCACGATTCAGCTGAGTGCCACCGGTCGCGCCGTGTGGGAGGCTGGGTCTGGGCCGGGCGCCACTGTTGAGGGGAAGTTCCCGTGCTCCAATATCGCGGGGAAGGTTTATGGTGGTGAGATCGTGCCGGTGGGTGACGCGGACACTATCAGCTGGATTGTCGGTCGGGGTGACGGGCCGAAGATCTTGGTTTGGTGAAGTCAATGAACGAAAACAAGAACGGATTCCTCGAATGATACAAGCAATGTCACCTTCTGCATGGCGGCTCGGGTGGCTGGCGAGGCACGGTGTTTGGTATACATGTATACTGGGAGACTGGGACGAACGATACCCCCTTCCAACTGGTGCATTTCCCTGGGCGCGTGGCTATTGGTGGGTTCTGGCTTCGAGAAGAGGCTGCCTTTTTTGTTCGTGGTTTGATATGCATAGCAAACAGAGATGGCTATCATTAATGCCGGACATGGGTGAGACATAGCTGGCACAGACTGAGGGAAACAGACCTGTAACAATGAGACTCTGCGTTTCTGGATCCATTGCTTGTTGCTGCCATGCTGTCGTTTCTCGCGTCATCACCATCTTTCTCGCGCGAATCAGTGCAACGCCAGTAGGACTCGAAATATAGGTCCCAGAGGTGTAGTCAGTGGCCCGGCCGAGGCCTACAAGCACGTACACTGTCCTCCGTATGCACACGCGAACTTTGAACAGCCGGCGCACGACACGGTAGAATGTGACATGACATGATATGAATGGCATATGTAACTGCTTCGATATAGACTACTGGTATGACTTGGTGATTAGTATCATTAGTATACACTAGATGGTGTTGGAGTGTTTCCTGTCCGGAATAAGCTCCCACTCAGCCTCCTCAGATCATGCCCGCCTTCGCCTGGACTGCAACCATCCATCCGCGAGGGACGGTAGTGGAGTACGGGAAAGTATCGATGACAGGACGTACGCTGACTTGCTTCGCAGCCAGCGCATAGTTCCCTGATTTACCACTTCTTCGCTACGTGTACACGAAGGCCCCTGTGCCAGTGATACTAAACCCTCACGAGCACGACTCAGGATGCCCACTGCTAGGCTGACCTTCTCCACTACCACGGAGTATCATGTTTATACCTCCTTGACCAGACCGAAGAACGAGATCCTTGCCCGACGATTGGCAGTCAATACCTTGGTTATCTTCGTGTCCAATCGGACCACATCACACAATTTTGTACACCTTTTTGCACCACCAGTAGCAGATGACGCCAAAGACGAGCAATCCCGCGGTAGTGCCCCAGAACCACCACAAGTTGTCCACATCCTGACCAGGGACTTTGAAGTTGCCGCCAAACATACCAGTCACGATGTTCATGGGTAGGACGATCGTCCCCAGCACAGTCAATTTACCCAGGACGTCGGCGGTCTAGCGAATCAGTTAGCTTCATGCTCAGGTAGCGACGTGAGGAAACATACCTTTTCCTGCCTCTCGTTCATGTGGATGCTGACTTGAGCGAGATAATTGCCGTGCGCCCTGCTCAGCAACGTCTCGTAGTGCGACAGATTGCCCGTCATGGTCAAGATGTGGTCCTGGATATCACCAAGGTACAAGCCGATCTCCGACTTGGGCGCCACTTCCCACTGTTCGTTGCAGCGTTTCGCGAACCCCTTGATCACGTCGGCCTTGTTCCCCAGCAAGCGATACATCGACATGACCTTCTTGCGACATTCTCCTATTCTGATCAACATGTCAATGCCGCTCACGCCCGAGTCTCCTTCATCCGTGCTCTTCTCATTGATTCCCTTCTCGCCATATTCTCCCGCCAGGGCAGCGGTGTCTTGAAATGCTCGAAGAATGAGGTCGTCAATGGCATCCACTTCTTCCTCGATATGTGTGATCAGAGGGCCGTAGACATCGGTGATATCATCGATGATAGCATACGAGATCCAATCAGCGCTCAGAACAAGATAGTCCGAGAGCTGCCGGATGCGCCGCCGCACGTTGGCAGGATGCGGAATCGGAGAGAAATGGAAGGTGATGATCCCGTACCCGAACACACAGACGTACATGTTGATGGGCTCCAAATAGTCTTCACTATGCGGATCTTGCTCAAAGGTCCGGTAGTTGATGAAGTAGTAGTTGCGGAACAACTCCACCTTCTCTCGCGCTTCTTGCATCAAGACGTCCTCGGTCGTGAGCGCATGAATCCCAAAGGCCTTGCCCAGGACACGCATTTCCGTCTCAGTGGGACACAAAACGTCTAGCCAAAATGTCGGACGCGGGCCATACTTTTTGGGCTTGGGCGCTCGAATCGACGAATGTCTGTTCTGTGGTGTCGCGCTCCCGGAGTTCTTGCTCTTATCTGAACTCTTTCCACTCGTGCCTGGTTTCAGTGAATCCGCTAGACTGGGCATTCCGGACTCTCTCTCGATCGCTGTTGTGGATTTGGGGCTTTGCAAGGCACTGGTCGTCATATCCAGGACGTCATCGTCTTCGCTTTCACTGGAATCGGCTATCTCAGGCGGGTCCGGGATGAAGAGCTCGCGGAAACTGCCATCGGGCTGCAGCAGTTCTGATATCGTCTCGGCGTGGATGGTGCTCCCGAAGTCCTCGTTGAAATAGGTGAATCGATATTGCTTGTCTTCTTCGACCCGATGCCAGGCACTCTTACGAGGACGTAGTCTGCCCTCAACCAACATCGGCTCGCTGATTTTCTTGGCCCGCCGTTCACCTGCAGCCCTTGCTTCCTTTTCCTCTCGAGCCCACTCGTCGAGCACCCATAACTTGGGCCAGTCTTCCCGCTGACGACGTCTCCGTCGTTGACCACTTGCGAAATGCCCTTCAGACTGCGACCGGTTGAATGGATCGCCTATTTCAGAGGCGTCTTCGGCTGGGAAGCATACGTCCGCCTCGGCATGCATTGTCGTTGAACGGTGTCGTTGCAGACCCCCTGGTCTGAGTCGAGGACTCAGTGGTGCCGAGTTAGGTTCATGATCGCCATCATCATCGATGTCGATCAAGACGTCCTTGTTCCCACTGGCAAGATTTCTTCGGCTGTCAGGCGAACGGTTGAGGAAGTTGACTTCGTCGACCATGACATCCTCATAGAGAGCGCCCAGCGTCGGACTCCCGGGTACAGACGGAGGATTGTTGACATTGTAGCTCGCATCCGATTTGGGGACTGAATGACCAGGGGTGCCAATTGTCTTCTGTCTTCGTGGTTGCTTCGATGCCGCCGATAGCGTAGACGTGTTGGACTTGACCCTAAAAAGTCCGAAACCTGTCTGTTCGGGGCTCTTGTGCTGTTGTGCGCCGGATATCAAAGGAGTCCTGTCGTTGGCATCTTCATTGTCCGAGTCATCACGACCGGGAGTGCCCTGCTTTCCTCTTTGCCTGTTTCGCGTACTCGACTCGGAGTTAGGAAAGTGATTGTTTCGGTAGGATGTTGCAAACAAGGGGGTCAATCGGCTGTCACGACGCGGGCGTAAAGTAGGTTGATCGCGATGGTCGAGCAGAGCTCCACTGTCCAGGCTCTCGTTGCTGAGGTTTCGATTGTTGCTTCGATAGAGCGACTGTCGAATCGACGGAGGCTGTGGTTCCTCGATCAAAGGATCGTCTGTCGGGCCATCCCGACCGCTGGTCATGGCAGAAGTTTCTGAAGGAGCCGCAAACGACTGACGACGATTGCGGCGTTTCTTCCCTGCACGGTGTTTTCTTTTTTTCTTGCCATCTCCTGCTGCTGTGGAGACCGTAGAGAGTCTGCCTTCGCCCGCCGCAGCTGAGCCTGCATTTGGAGCAGTGGCCGAGGAATTCATGCCGGGTCGAGTCTGGTCGCGTGCCCCAGTCGGCTGGGAAGACTGCCCTCTCTGTGGAGGCGGGAGAGGCTGCATTCAAGTGTGAGAAAAGAGTGAGCCCGGCCTCGAGAGCCTCGAAGGAGCGATCAACAGAATTTCCTGCGCAAAGCAGATCATGGATCAAGCTGTACTGTGTAGGAGAAACGATGGATAGCTCGTGCCGCCAAGGGAACAGTAAATGTGACAGACTCAGGTACGAGTGAATTACAGAGGAACGGCTAAGATGGTGGTGTTGGGCAAAGCCGATCCCGATCACTGAACGCCTGCCGAACCAAGCGCAATTGCCATGACGTGGGCGGAATTGTGACTCGCAGACCACGAGTTCAAGCTGTCGACAACTCCGCTTCTCGATATCCACTCACCACCTTCTCACTCGCCTGCTCGTGCTCGAACCACTTCGAGGCCCAGGAAAAGAGGAGAAGAGGTGGCAGAGGCAGTCAATGACGCTCGTAACCGTATTCCTACAATATCTAACTAGGTAACTAGGTAGCTAACAAGCATCTGACTAGGTAATAAGCATCTAGGAGATTCGTATCGGCGTCCATAAAACCTGCAAGTCTTGAACGCCCCGAGAAATGCTTTTCCAAAACATTCGCGCCCGTAGAAAACACCAACCTCGCCATGCCGATCAAGCCAAACTCTGGCCCCGTATGTGCATCAGAACATGTTCTCGTTCCCTTCAAGACCGCTCATTGCAAGACTGTGGGTGCTAATAGCTCTCAAGCTCTTGCCATCACTGCCGCCACTAACATGGCGCGTCGAGCTCCGCGGTTTCTTCGCCTTATCCGGTCGCGCAATCAAGACCTGTGCCGGACACACCACAATCTCTTCATCACCGACGCCGTTGTCATCTCCCTTCTTGACCACAAGTGGGAAGAGCACCATCCGCACAACAGCCTGAGCGCGTTCAAGCTCTTCGTTGCTGGTTGTTTCTCCGCTTCTTTCATTCATTAGACTTGCATTGAAGTACACTTTCCGTGCAAGGTCGCCGTTAGTGTCATACTCTGGCTGCAGCGGCGGCAGCATGATGTACTCCGCTCGCTGTGTGCGCATCTCGATCGAAAGCTCGACTGCCGTGCGCATGACATTGCGCAGGGATCCCACAATCTGGTCCTCCAAATTTTGTGGCGGAGGGAGGAACCGGGATAATGTCGAGAAGATCTCAATCGCGACCGCTTCCGTGTCAGATTCTTTCTGAGCTTTGAAGCTCTCGCGCTTGGAGAGCAGGGTAAGTGTAAGCGCCCTCCACTGATGCACCGCGCTGGTCGGTCCTACTTCGCCCAGGTTCTTCTCCAGCTGTTTCAGCTTCTGCCGTTGCTCTCGGTCCATGCCGAAGAGATATCTGGTGAAGACATATTCCCAGATCATTGTCATCACCACCGACATGAAGACGTCGCGTCGCTTGACTCGGTCGGCCAGGTACACGTCCACGTCCGAGCCGTCCAGTATCGCATTGTCAAATTTGTCCACAATCTTCTCTTCGCGGACTTCGCTGGTGGTCCGACACAACTTGAGATCGCTGAATTTCGAAAAACGCAGCACCCAGCCCTGCACTTGTTGACATAGTTTCTGACATGCCTGTTCGAAATAGTCCTCGTCGTGGAAGATCACAACGTCGTCTACAGGTCGCTCGAGGATCTGCGACTGTAACTCCCGGACCTTCTCTCTTGCGACTTCTAGATCGTCGCGAAGCCGTTGGATTTCCGCGTTCTTCTCTGCAAGAGCCGAGTCGATCTCGTGTCTGACGATCGACTCCATGCCGGTGGATAATTCGGTGTGCCTCGATCGCAGTGTCTCCAATTCTCTTGAAGAGCCTTGCCATTGCGACAGAGCCTGATCATGTTCTTGACGGAGGGTGAGCAAGCTCTGCTCGTGCTCTTTCTTCAGCGACTCGTGTGTCGCGACCAGGGATGCCACCTCTTGCCTGAGCCGCGCAATTTCGGCGTCGCGCTCTTGCAGCTGCGCACTGAATGCAGCTGACGCATTCTCAGAGCGATTTGTTTCGAAGTGCGCGTGTTCCAGATGTTGTTCGGCGACAATCTTGGCCTCGACCAACGCGCGATTCTCACTGGCCAATTGGTCCAGTCGGGCCTCGAGATCTTTTATTTGTTGCATGCTTTGTCGTCGCCGTACGCTCGGAGGTCGGGTCGGCGACCTGGGGCTGCCGGGATAGGACCCATAGCCATCCTGCAAGGCTGTTAGCATTGGAGAGCGCGGACACGGGTTAGACGCATGCAGACGTACATAGATGTCAGCCATGTCCCTGTCGCGGACAGCAGCCTTGCCTGTGTCTCGAGCATTGACAGGATCTTGCGAAGACCCGGACGTGAAATTGGCCGGGTCGAACGGGGAGATGGAGTTGCCGCGCAAGTTGCGCAACGACGAGGTTCGCGATTTAGACCTGCCAAGCGATTTAGCACCTGAGTCACGTGAAGCGAGAGCAGCGGCTGCGAGGCCTGCTGCTCCCGCCGCCGTCACGATGCCGAGAGCGCCGACATCATTCTTGCCAGCATCTCGTTGGGCTGGAAGCCCGGGAGGCGTCTTGGGAGACGAATGCGCCATCCCGGCGGTTTCAGGAGAGTCCTCTTGGATGGGTCCAAGGGCAGACCTTGCAGGAGTGAACGGGCGGTCACGACTTTCTGCGTCGAATACTGAGCGATTGCTTGGAGCAGCAGCAGACTGATCGATGAGGTTGGATGCAAGTTGCTCGCTGTCTTCGTGATGCTGGATCACCTTAGCCTTTGGCTGTCTGAGCTCCTCTCGACTGTGGTGATGGCCGTGGATGCTTGGGCTCCTGCGTAGAGGACTTTGGCCCCGTTGAGGACTTCTGGCAATGCCGCTTGTAATCAAAGGAGACGGCACCGCGGGTGAAGAGTTGAATAGGACTGAAGTTCGGTCCTTCGAAGTAGACTCAACAGGCGATGGCTTTCGTCTCGGCGTCTCCAGTGTCGCGGTGTCTTCGTGGCGTGTTTTGCTTGTCCGCGTTTTAGCGACGTCCTCAGAGGAACTGGTGGGTGATCGTGGGCGAGGAGGCCGTAGCTTCGTATCTGGGCCGTCATCTCTGGAACCGTCGAACTCCACATGTGCGATGGCAGGACTGGGGATGAAACCGCTGTCCCGTGTAGACGAAAAGTGATCAGTGGCAAGAACAGGTGAGTCAAACTGGACACCACTGTCGCGGTTGGACTCTGCTGTAGTGACACCAGGTGCTAGTCTTGCAAACGACCATCCAGTCGATGCTTGTCGAGCGGGCGAGCTCGGTTTTGGTGGAGATTCTCTTGTCGCTTCTGGCTCTCTGCCACCAAATCCAAGTCCAGCCGCGACGCCCAGAGCCGTGTCCATGATGTCGTCGTGCTCAGGCGGTGGGGTAAGAGCACGGTCTCTGGGGAGATCTTCAGGTTCTTCTCCAGACCACACTGGAGGTGACCGCCGTCTCCGTCGTCTTTCACGGGTGCTCTCGCTCACGTCAGAATGATTTTCCATGTCCTCCGGAGGTGGAGGTTCTCGAGTTGACGCTGTTGCTGACGTTGGCTCGACGGGCTCCTTTGGGATAATCTCCATCACATCAGGCTCACAGAGGTCAGTCTCTTCAGGTTTAGCAACTGGTGGTGGTACAATCTCAGTCCCAGCGAACTCAAAGACCCTACGCTCTTTCTTGGCCTTCTTGTCTTTCTTACTCTTTTTGCGCTGCACTGGGTCCTCGAACGCCGGTGGTACATTTTCTTGCATGGCTGGCTCAGCATCTAGGTCTCGAACAGTTTCGGGTCTGTCTGTCATGACCATCGGCCGTGTTTGTTCTGGGAGAGCATCCGCCGGAGGTGTGGTGGGGGCAAGGTTCTCGTCTGACGCTTGCAGATCAGCAGATTGTTCGGGGTGCAGGTCAGGGTGCTTTGGGGCTTGCGCCATGTCAACATCGATATCCCGAGCTGGATGATCAACCTGAAGCTTGGATTTGACGGGCCCGGAAATATCGCCCATCAAAGTCTCGTACTGCTCACCCGAAACTGACCGGTCGTGAATAGGTTCTGGGCCGGACACAGCTGTGGCCATTTCAAGATGTTCTGTTGTCTTCGGTGCTTCTCGATCATTGAATGATTCTGCTTCATCGAGAACGTCCTTTGCCATTGATGCAAGTGGCTCGTCATTCGCTTCCAGCCTATGGTCCGTGTCCTGGCTAGGTTCCGCTGCCAAGGCAGGTGTTGATGCCCCTGGCTCGGACTTCTCCTCGGCCGGCTGATCGTCAGCGCTCCAAGCGAACAGTGACTTTTTCTTCTTGTCCTTCTTCGACTTCTTCCTGCTTGCTGGAACAAAATATCCATCGTTAGCTTCGACCTGCACCGCTGGTGTATCTGGTTCCTTGACGTCTTCCATTGGTTCTGGAGACGTGGTGCGACCCAAGGGCGTCTGGATTGCAGAGTCGAATTGATCAGTTGATCTCGGTGTTTCACTCCCAGGAGTCGTGATACCATCACCAAGTGCCAAACTCCTGCCCTTCTTACCCTTCTTCGACTTCTTGGTTGAAAAGCCCCATTCCTCCTGGGCCTGCGTTTCGCTTGGAGCAGGATCGGTTGCTGACTGCTGCACATCGGCAATGACGTCGGCCTGCGGCACATCAAGGGGTGCTTCCACTTCTGGCGCTACTGCAGGGTCTGATACTTGTTCTTGTGGCTGCAAGATACTGTTCAAAGTTGACTGTCTCTTGCTCTTTTGCTTCTCCTTCTTCGACTTCTTGGCCGAAGGCCACTCAGTCTCCACCTGTGTAGGCTCGTCCAGGGTTGGCACAAGTTCTCGCTCGCACTCAACTGCTGCTCCTGGCAGGGCTGATTCTAATTCTGGCTCTTGGATATGGTGACCACTGAGAATAGCTGATGGCTCCTCAGAGACGATGTCCATTGGTTCAGCAATTGACGAGGCCGCAGGTGGCTCCTCTGCCAATGGTTCTTTGGAACCTTGTTCCACGTCTTCGAACATGTGAGGCTGTGAAGCGGCAGACCTCGGTTCTGCGCCTTTTGGCCCATCATGCTCCACTTTGAGCTCGAGAACCGGCACCTCATGAGATCCCGTTGGCACGTCAACAGCGGCCTGCTCGATGGGTGCTTCCACGGCTGCTGATTCTGCCGCAATTGCAGGCTGGGACTCGTCCATGTCGATATCATCAAGAGCCAATCTCTGCTTCTTTTTCTTCTTATCCTTCTTGGATTTCTTTGTCGATGTGGCCCATTCTTCCCCAGCGAGGAGTGAATCAGTCGGCAATCTGCCTTCGGTGGTATCTCCTGGGGCAAGTGGTTCGGTTTCCGGTTGTTGTTCGTCAGGCAAGAGGACAGCGGCTTCCGCGGGCGTGTCTAATCCCATGTCGACCTCGAACGCCGAATCCCTTTCAAGTTGTTTGGCCGACGTGGTCGTAACGCCCGCATCGGGCTGCTGCTCGTCAACAATAGATGCTTCAGGCAGCGTCTCTTCAAGAGCTGTGGAAGGCTGGGATTCTTCCTCCCCTACAAGTGTTTTCCTTTTTTTCTTCTTGTCCTTCTTAGACTTCTTTGTAGCCGTCCCCCAATCTTCACCCGTGGCAGGCTCAACCGTCTGAGGTTGGATCCCAGGTCCAATTGCCACATCGAGCATTTTCGTATCGCCAGACTTTGCCAATTCGGGTTCCGCAATGGCGTCGGGTGTTTCGGTTTGTAGAGCGCCAAGGCCAGGCTCGTCGAAAGCGAATTGACGGTTCTTCTTGGCCTTCTTTGACTTCTTGGATGGCATAGACCATTCTTCCTCAACAGTCTGCTCTGCTGTTGTCGCGTCTACAGAGGTCAGATCGACTGGCGCAGGGTCCAGCGGTTGCGTTTCAGCAGTAGACTCTGTTGGTGGACCTTGCAGGTTGCTCACGGGCTCTCCTGCTTCGGTCTGCAGTGAATCAAACTCGGGCTCCTCAAACGTTGATTGCCGCTTTTTCTTCTTGCTCTTCTTGGGTTTTGGTACGTAGAAGTCGTCCGGAGCCAGGACCTCTGGAGCTGGCTCTTCTGCCGCTAGGACTTCTGCCGCTAGGACTTCTGGACCTGACGCTGCTGATTGCTCGTCTGGCACTTCTCTTCCCGAGTCCAGGCGACCTCCCTCGGTTATTGGCTCGGTAGTCTTCATAGTCATTGGCGTGTCTGGGAAGGAAGGCTCTGCGGGCTCTACCTTCTCATTCTGGGTCGTCACAGCCACTTCAGGTCGCCACTCTTCACTCATCTGCGATACTTGAACTTCCACTACACCTGGCGCGTCCGGAAGGGCGGTGCTCTGAGCCTCTGGCTCTTCAACGGTTGTGGTCGGTGGCTGGTCTTCCACAGGTTCGATAGCCGTGGAAACGCTGGGAAGTTCCGGAGCTTCCATAGAGTCTTGACCAGGCTCAACATCAGGTTTGCTCTCACTCAAGACAGCGGGGGTCACATCTGCCGCAGGCTCTTCGAGAGACACGAGCTGCTGAAGATCACTTCCCTCACGCTCCGCAGATGGAGCCACATTAATCTCTTCGGCGGTCATCTTCTCGTGTGCCAGAACATCACCAGGTAGATGGACGTCTAAAGGGGCGGTAGTTTCAGGAGGAGCCTGCATTTCATCGGCTTCCACTTGCATTGTGTCGAAAGCATCTCCTGTCGAGTCTGCAGTTTGGGTCGCTTCACGAGGCTCCTCACTTGGAAGTGCAAAGGCCGCGCTGGCTCTCTCCTCGACCACGACCGGATCGTCTGCAATGTCCGTGAAAATTGACTGAAGCTTCTTTTTCTTGTTCTTCTTGCCCTTGTTGGAGACTTTGTAGTCATCCGCGTCAGACTGAGCTTGACTAGCAATCGGGTCCGCCAACACAGGCTCCTTGGTGGGTTCTTGGGGCAATTCGCTCACGCCTGGCTCCAAGATAGACTCTACCGCTTTGTTGACGGATGCGGGTTCGGCTTCTTTGGTGACAACAGCAGGCTCCGCAAAGGTATCTTCGAATGTCGACTGCCGTTTCTTCTTCTTGTCCTTCTTTGTCTTCTTAAGAATGTTGCGATCTTCCTCTTCATTTCCCGGAGTTGCCACCGGTATTCCACTTCCTGCAAAGTTGTCATTCATAGCCTCGTCGTGCCCGGGTTCTGCCTCTGACATAGAAGGCGTGAGTTCGGTGAGAGCATCGTCAAAATTAGTCTGTCGCTTCTTGTTGCCCTTCTTTGATTTGGCAGTCGTAGGCCTTGACCAGTCGTCTTCAAGCACGGGCTCTGCACCCTCAAGAGGAAGCTCAACGGGGTCTTCTCGTTCAAGAGGTGTCTCAGCTGCGTCAACCAGCTCAGGCTCCTCAACCACGGACTTACGCCCTTTCTTGCCCTTCTTTGCTTTGGTCTTCGTAGACGTTGGCTCTTCCTCCTCGGCATGAGGCACCATCTCTTCGGTTCCAATGAAAGAAGAACCTGCTGTATCCATGGGTGTGTCGAAAGGGGTCTGCAGAGGTTCAGCTGGTGTGGCATTTTCCATTGGTGTCTCGAAAACATCGGATGTCTGTGGCTCCTCCAGGACCACTTGCCGCTTCTTCTTCTTGTCCTTCTTCGACTTCTTTCTTGAGAGACTGAAATAGTCAAGACTTTGATCTTCTGGAGCTGGATCGATTGTGCTGGACACGGTCACCTTTTGCTCTGTCGTCCCTTCGGTTGCTGCTGTCGCCTCTGGCAGTGCTATCTCTTCGGGCGGTGCTGTCTCTTCTTGTATGAGCGGCGGTTCAGATTCTGGAGGCACAGGACGTTCTGCGGCATCTTCCCCCAGCTGTCCTTTCTCAGGAGCTTTGAGCTTGGGGTCCTCTTGCGGCTCTGTGACCTCGTCCGGTTGCAGAGACATCGGGGTTGGTGTTTGGGCTCGCTCTGCAGGTTGAACTACCGACGCTGGCCCCGCAAGTTCGGGTTCAGCAGCGGCATCTTCCAAATCAGCAAGGTGAGTAGGGTGCTGCTCGGCCATTGCCGAGAGTGCGGCATCCCCATCGGGTTCTATAGCCTGCGCGTCCACATTTTCCACCTCCGGCTTCACGTCTTGCTTCCCACCCACTTCGATGTCTCGACACCCCCCTGACACTTCATCGACAGTCCTGATCTCATCAGCGTTGGGCTTACGCCCTTTTTTCTTGTCCTTCTTCTTCTTGGATGCCGGAGCCCATGAATCATCGAATCCATCATTGACAACTGTGGGCCCATTTTCTCCACCCAACAGCATGGCTGACTCTGTTGTTGTGGCCTCCTCCGCCAAAGGGGGCTCAGGTTGAGTCTCTGTGCCCGACTGCGTCTCGCTGGATTCAGGTTGGGCTGACTCGGTGGCTACAGACTCCAGCGCGGACTGGCGCTTCTTCTTTTTCTTGTCCTTTTTGGCCTTAGTCGTTGTGAACGCCCACTCATCATCAGGAACATCTTGTGAGCCTGATGCGTCGGCTAGAGCAATGTCATCCGGTTGCGAAGGCTCTTTGGTGTATACCAGGTCACGTGATCCGGTAATGTTTTCATCTGTTTGGGCGTCTGCGCTGACTGGGGCATCCGGCGAAATGGGGATTGACTCGTCGACAGTTGCCTTGCTATCATCTGCTGCGGCATCGCCTTCGATCACATCGTCTACAAGAGTAGACTGACGCTTTTTCTTTTTCTTGTCCTTTCTCGACTTGGTGAATGTGAACGACTCCTCTGGAATGACTTGAGTAACTTCTCCAGAATCTGGAGTCTGCTCTTCTGTAGCGACACCAGTAGCCAGTTGGGCGCTGTCATCCAAGGCGGCCTCAGGTTCCTCTCTCGTAGTCTCAGTTGTAACTGTGAGAGCTTCTACATCATCGGGCTGTGATTCCTGGACGACCTCCTCGGCCTTGTCTGGTGCGTCTTGTGGATCGTCCCAAATTGCAGCCAAATTTGATTGTCGCTTCTTCTTTTTCTTGTCTTTCTTCGACTTCGACGTTGGAGCCGCGACATCCTGACCGTCATTGCCCATGTCAGCGTCTGGCTTGGTATGATCCCCTTCCGGCAGCGTAGCCTCAGGACCGACAACCTCATCTCCAACTGCGGGCGCAGACTCTGGCGCCACCAACTGCTCCCATGTGCCGCTTGTTGGAGTTTCAGATTCGAGTGCTTCTGCGGCCAGGGCTGATTGTCGCTTCTTTTTCTTGTCTTTCTTCCAGTTTTTGACCGGCATGTCCCATTCTCCCTCAGCTTCGGGTGCAACGCCACCTACAGTCACTGCATCACCTTCAACCGCAGGAGTCTCGACAACCGGAGCCTCAACAGCTGGAGTCTCAACGGTCGGAACATCGACTGCGGTAGGTTCAAGTGGACTTGTGGTGACGCCAGAAGCCTCGTCATACAAGGTCTCACGAGTTTGCGACTCAGCAGAGGAGTGGTCGCCAGCTGAAGTCTCGACCGTGAAAGAATCATAGCCGTGAGCCGACTGTGCGTCTGCCGGCACGGAGGGAACATCTAAAGCGGTCGCATCGGCGTCAGAGGTACCAATAGCCGCAGTTTTCTCATCTCCAGGAGTCTCAACACCTTGTGTTTGTACAACAGGCTCAACAATTGGAGATTCGACCGCGTTGGGAGCGTCAGAGTGAGCCTCTTTCGCTCTAGATCGGCCGTGTGTCTCGACACCAGATTCATCATCGACAGGAGGGTCAAGAGTCGCTGTCCCGTGGACGGGAGACTGTACGATTGGAGCCTCACCAGTGAGTGGCTCAACGACCGCAGTCTCTACCGCACCTTTTTCCTCGATTGGGGACTGTACTGCAAGCTGAGCTGTAGATGGCTCATCGGTTGCCTTGTCAACAATAACTCGTTGAGGTAACGGCGCCTCAACGGTGGGCGGCTCAATAGCTGGTGTCTCAGCCGGGACTTGCTCAGGGACGGGAGAATGCACAACCGGAGCCTCAACAGCTGGAGGCTCGACGGTTCTCGTCTCAACACTGATGGAGTCACGGACCGGGAACTCAGCGACTGGAGTCTCCAAGATTGAAGCCTCAGTTGAAGGCCCAACGGATGGTGCCTCAGCTTGCGGAGCCACGTCAGCCAAATGTTCAGACACAGTGTCTTCCTGAGAGGCATTCATCGTCTGTGGGTCTTCGGTTGCGGATACCTCTTGAATAGCCGAAATTTCAAGGTCGGTCGTGGTACCTGTCGGGTCGCGGGTGACAGCAGCATCATAGACGATTTCAGCAGCCGCCTGTGAAGTTGGCTGAGGCTCGTGGATTTCGGTGGTGTCTACACCCACAAACTGAGCATCTGTCTTTTCCGGTCCTCCGACATTGTCGGTAGCCTTCACCGACTCTTGTGCCAGCACATCAGGCTCCGGGATCTGTTCCGAAACGGTAGTCGCCACGGTTTCCGTCTCCTGGCTATCAACTGCATCTTTTTGCGGCTCGTCAGCCTCATTGATAATTGTCCGTCGCTTCTTGTTCTTCTTGTCCTTCTTCGATTTCGTCGTGGGTGTGAATCCATCATCATTTTCTGGAGGTACTTCCTTGGCAAGGGTCGCTGCCGCGTCGGCTTGGAGCTCGCCAGTTTCAGCAGCTGGTGGTAGATCTGGGGCAACTGTGTTTTCGTAGCTTCCAGTGTCTTGGACGTTGTTCTCATCTAAGAGCACATTTTCGTCCGAGGGAAGCACATCTGGCTGATCAAAGGTTAAATTTGAACCGCGTTTGTTCTTTTTGCCCTTCGACTTCTTGGTTGGTACTGAAAAGAGATCTTCATCTTGCCTGGGCTCATCCTCAACAAGCGCCAGGGCCACTGACTCGGCTGAAGGGTCAACAGAGCCGGCTGGCACGTCGGAGGGCTCTACTTCTCGTGGAATATCGGCGCTGATCGTCTTCTCGTCGGTAACGGTCGCAGACTCAGCAGGAGACGCGATATCACTCTCAGCTAGAGCTGATTGCCGCTTCTTCTTCTTTTTGTCCTTCTTAGATTTCTTGCCCGGAAGGGCCCAGCGGTCGTCGTCCAGCTGGAATATATCCTCAGTGGGCGCTTCAGGGGGAGGTATTGCCTCATCCAGCGTTCGGGCAACTGGAATCTGTGCTTCGGCAGGCGTTGAAGGTTCTGGTACATCAATTTCCCTTTTGTCTTCCACGAGTGGGTCAGATACTGATGGTGTGATCATTTCCTCCACCAGAGGCTCTTGACTGGGGTTGACAAGTTGACCGCCTTCAGAGGTAGCAGTCCGCTTCTTTTTCTTATCCTTCTTCGACTTCTTCACGATAGGGAAGAAGTCCTCTCCCTGCTGCTGAGACGGTGACTCGTAGTCAGCACGCAGAATCTCTGCTGGAACTCCCGTCAGTGAAGGAGGCACAGATTCTTCCGCGTGCTCGTGGTCCGCCGGGCCTGGAACATGTCCTAGGACATGGTCACTGATGGGAGGAGCAGTCGCAGTTTCAGTCTCTGGCTCAGGTTGCTCATTGGATTCATCTTGGCGATCTGGACCTTCAGGTACAGAAGTTGCAGTCATGTCTCTCATGTCTGTGTCATTCGCATCTTCCACAGAACCAGATTCGGCTTCTCTTACCGCCTCGATCATACCTTCAGCATCTGATTTCTCTATAAGGTGTTCAGCAGCCTCCAGCACTGACTCAGATACTTCCACCTGGGGTTGATCCATGGTGACGGAAGGCGCTGTGGCAGTCGCTCCCAAAGCGGTGTCAACACCCACTTCGTCTCCCGTGTACGATTTCTCCTCTGGTCGGGATTGTGGATCGTGCTCCTCTTTTGCTGCCTCGGAGATAAATCCTTGCTCTGCTTCGGCCATGTCTGTGATGCTACCGGTGGCCAAATCCGACTCAACCTGGGTAGGAGACTTTTCAAGCGGACCTATCCCTTGCGAAAGGGGAACAGGTGCAGGCATGTCATTGATCCCTGCCTCTTCGACTATGTGCTCCGCAAACACAGCATCTTGGGTCTTGTCTGCTGAATCCTGGAGTTCCTGGGTGGGGTTGCCAGGCTCAGAGATCGGTGCAGTTACAGAAGGTGAGTCTTCGAGGGCTGTCGCAGGCGAATCGTCGAATGCAGTAGGCAGACCTTTCTTCTTTGACTTCGACTTCGACTTCTTTCCCGGCTTAACGTCCAATGTCCAAGGATCTTCTGATTCTTTCCGAGGACTCTCGGCTGGGGTAGCAAATACTTCTTCTTCGAGAGCAACCTCGCGGCTTGGGACATCGTCTGGGTCTGTGGCTGTTGGCTCGTCAAGCACTGCCTGAGGGCCAGGGTCGGTAGCTCCGGTTTGCGTAACTGTCTCGGGCTGTCCTGTGGCAGCTTCTTCTTCCCAGCTGGAAGACTGTCGTTTCTTCTTCTTTTTGTCTTTCTTACCCTTCTTGGGAGTAGCCTGTCCGCTGTCTCTTTCACCCGTTGGCTTATGGAGCGCCTGGCTATTACCGATGGTAGTCGATTGTACATCATCTTCTGCAGGATTGATCTCGAAATCATCCCCAAACGGACTTGGGCGCTCAGGTGCTGGAGTAGGCTCTGCAAAGACGCGCTGATCAGGCAAAAATTGATCCTCGCTAGTAACAGTCAGCGATCGATCGATATCGATTTCCGTTCGGTCCGCATCGTGCACCGGCGGCAGATCCGCGTCAGGCGTGTCGTTAGGTAGAGTTTGCTTCGACTGCTTCTGCTTGCGTTTGTCTCTCTTCGATGATTGGCGGCGAACCAGAAAGGTAGAGTCCGAAGATATAGGCTCTTGTGCTGTAGCAGGAGTAGATAGCTCGCTTTCTTCTTGTATAGTTGTCAATTGAGTACCATCAGTATTGGGATCTTCTGGATGAAATGATTGGTACGCCGCCTCCACAGTTGCGCCGTCGGCCAAACCCCTTGTTTGGAGAGCCGCGTCGAAAGCTTCATCGAGAGGGTTCGTGAACTGTTTGATCTCGGCTGGAGCGTGTGCCTTATCGTCGATAGTCTTGTCATCTAGAGTGAAGATCTGTTCGTGCGGCCTTTCTACATCTTTTTGCTCGTCATCAACGGTAGGTAAAGTCGGCACGCCTGGTTCAGGTTGTGTTGGCATTGCTTCTGGGGCGATTTCGACGCTTCTGTGCAGGTCCAAAGCCGCTTCCTGATCGGTTGCTTGCACCCCAAGTGACGACAGTCCTCTGAGCACACTCTCATTCTGTTCTGGCACCACACCTTCATCTGGCGTCGGTGGCAAATCTTCGTCCAATGTCAGAGTGGTCCGTTTCTTCTTGCCCTTCTTATCCCTTTTCGACTTCTTCGTTCTGCTGCCTGATTCCTGGATCAGCTCTTCATAATCCCGCACTGTCCGTGGAAGCCCATCTTTACCTAACATCGCGGTGTCCCCTTCTTGCGATATTGGCCCTTTGACCACAGATGGAATTGAGTGATGAGCGTGGGCCACTTCTTCCCCAAGTGCCACAAGTGGAGAGACTGGCAGAAGAGCTTCAGGTGCCGTCTCCTCCATCAAGCCCTCGGACACCAACTTTCTGCCGGTGGGGACGTCTAAGGTTTGGGACATAGGGTTCAAGCTACGTTCACGGTTGTGTAGCTCCGCAAAGACATTCTTCCATCCGCTAGTATCTCGTACTTCCTCAGTGGTGGCTTCAAGAGGTCGCTGCTCGGTTGCCGGCGCAGACGCAGAAAGACTCCGATCCTGCTGAAGATCGAATGAGTTAGGCTCCTCTTTCAGAACCGCGACCTCCTCTGGAAAGAACTCAAACTTCCGTGGTGTCGCTACTTCATCTGGCGGGACGTCATCAGACGGCTCTCCCAGGACTTCATGAGCAGCGATGCCAAGTGCAGACCCTGCCAACACACCAGCTGCTGCAGTAGTCAATGCATCGTGCCAGGATGCCGAGGTTGATCTTGTGGTCGAAGCGCTCCGTCGACCCCTGCTCAGGCTTCGGGACCTTGTCGTCGGTGACAAGCTTCTGCTTCGTGCGCTCATGTAGTCTTGATCAAAGTCTGTGCTCGCAACACTGGGAAGAGGACTTTGGAGTGCGTCGGCATCATCCACCGAAGGCACGTCACGTAACAATGCTGGATCTTGCAGCAATTCGCTGGGTGAATGGAACTCGTACTTCAGCTTAGGCTTTGTTTCTTGATCACGAGCTCTTTGTGCTTCACCCGGCACAGGGGTAGCCGATCGAGAATCCAAGTAATCCGGGGATTCACGTCGCTTCCCATTGTCGCGCCAGTACGAGAAGCTGTGCCGTCTACCATGCTCTCGGAACATTTCAGCGCTCTTCCGAGATGGAGTGACGTAGTCGGACTGTTCCCATGCTTGTGCCTCTGCTCGAAGATCTTCCATCGACGGGTGTGCCGAACTGGTCCTGCTAGATGGTAGCGAAGGCAGGTTTTCTTCAGGTTCAGTGGCAGCCGTTTTCGCAAAATTTTGTCTTTCCACAAGGTAGAGTGGTCGGAACTCCTTGCTGTTGCGGAATTCTGTAGACTTGGGTCTACCTTGTCGAGTTCGAGGCGTAGATAGTGGAGAGCTGGGTGCTGCGACAGGTGAACTCATTGAAAAGCGCTGGTTGGTTGGCGACATGTGTGGGCGGCGGAACTGCAGTGGGACAGCGGTCGGAGAACCTGTGGTGATAGGACTAGAAGGCACGTCGCTGGTCCGGATGGCAGATAGACGTCGTGATTCAGCGATCTGTGACAGACCAGGTGGTTCAAGACCATTATCTTCCAACTCGATTGGCACCTTGACCGGAGTGCTGGCAACAGTATCAGGTTGTGTAGATGGACCTCTCTCGGATGTTGGCCCCGAGACACCATCAGTACCCATTGGTATATCCATGACCGTTGGTTCTGGCATTTCGGGGCGACTCGCTAAAAAAGACTCGCCTTCTCTGACACTCTTCATTGGTGATTCAGCGACCTCTTCAGCAGACACGAAACCATCATCAAGACTCTGATCTCTCGAGAGTTCGTTCCGGTCGGTAGCTGCCTCTTGGGGATCTGAGCTCCGACGGCTTTTTCGGGTCGGCTCTGATACCGCTGAAGCCACGTCGTCCAAATCTGCCTTGTCCCTGGACTTGCGTTTCCTGCGAGATTCAGAGCGGTCGTCACGACCACGGTCTGCTCGGCTCTCTGACTTGGTAGACTTCGAGCTTTTTCTGCTCGACGTACTAACATCGCTCTTATTACTGGAGAAGATGCTGCTGAAGAATCCCCCTGATTCTTTTTTCTTTCCTTTCGAGTCGCTGCTCGCAACCGAACGTGCATCATCATCCTGATTACCATCTGCATCTCTGCTTCGGCGGCTACGTGACGTCTTGCCTTCATCTCTGCTTTTGCGGCTGATAGTTGAATCTTCGTCAAAGTCCTTGCGGCGATGCCGTGAGCTCCGGCGCGAGGCCGCATCCTCGCCGAGATCATCCCCGGCAGGAGATTTCGGAAGTGGCGTGAAACTCGCTTCGTCAACTTCGCGCCGGCTCTCTGACTTGCTCGACGACTTGGTACCAATGTCGCTCTTTGAGCTAGATTTTGGCTTTCCGGACTTATCTGCTGAGCGTTCCCAGTCCTCGGGATCGGACTGATATCCGGCTTTTGACCCCGATCGTGACCGTCGCGATTTGGACTCATCGAATGTGCTCGACCGCTTTGGCTTCAAGGGCTGATCCTCTTCCGCAGGCACAGGGGTCCTTGTTTGTTCGTGCTCGTCCCCTGATTTTGCAACCTGGTCGGCTACAAGGACCGCCGACGCGCCCAGCCCCAAGACCGAAGCGGAGGCGGCATTCTCCGCTTTGCCATTCACCAAATAATCAAAGACGCTGTCGGTGCCCGGTACTGGTGGTGGAGAAGCGGTATCACTCTCGTCTTCAGCGGAACGTTGCTCAGACCCGAATGGTTGATTTATGTCAGCTAAAGAGCTTGCACGCTCTCGGCGACGTTGTTCACTTTTGCTCGTCCGGGGACCAGGAGATATCTCCAGCACTTGTGGTTCAGACGTATCATCTTCGTTTCGGCTTTCTTCGTGCCTCGCGTGAGTTTCCTCGATTGTACGCAGGCTCTCAGCTTCAGAGCGGGCTGGTGTATGGAAGTCGCCCATTGCGCCGACATCGCTGACGGATTCGGCAAAAGGACTCTGATAAAAGGTCTGGGACCGGTCCGCTCTGGCTTGCCCAGGGGGCGAGGGTGCCCTTGGTAGTTCTTCTGGTTCAGCCACAATAGATGGAGGACGTGCTTGAGATTTGGGCTCAGCTGTAATGATATCCGGACGTGGCTCAGGTGTGGCGACACCGTTATCGGGCGATGATCCTAAAACTTCGTGGTCAATTTCGTCGGCCTCCTTGTCGTCGACCGTCCAAGCACGGCTTATTTGAGGTCTGTCATCAACAATGGGCACTTCTTTCTCGAGTTTCTCTGCTTCACTGTCCTCGAGCGTCCAAGTGCGACCAAGACCGGGTCGACTTTGAGTCTCCTCGCTGGACGGACTCGGCTCGTCAACGATCTCGTCTAGTGAAGGCATATCGGCGACGTTCGGTTCGCCCGTCTCCCCATCAGGTGTGAAATCAGTGCGCTCATACTCGGGAGTCTGCACTTCATAGACATAGGTGTCGTGGTCACCCCATGTGACCTTGGATTCCCGCCGCTCAAGTGACTCACCAATCTCCTCCACCGGCTCTGTTCTCTTCGGCTCTATGACGGGAGTCTCATCGCCGCGAACGCTGTGCGTTTTGCTACCTGGTGGAGTCGGTTCGACCAAGGCGAGCACCGGAACAGGCCAAGGGTGGAGAGAAGGATCGTCATCTGCTTCAAGAACAAAATGGCGGTATGTGAAGGGATCAAACGGATGTGGTCGAAGAGATTTCGGTGCTCCAGGAACAATCTCGACTACATTTGCTCCAATGTCATCTCGATGTTCAGCTCTGTCATTGTGCTCTTTCAGATGCTCTCTGAGTTCGGCTGGGACAAAGAAAGAACCATAGTTGTCATGCTGGACTGGTGATGGAGTGGATCTAACCCTCTGAGCAGCCATCCTGGCAATCCGTTCCTGCTGAGTCTCAGACTGCGGCGAACTCTCCCTTTCGCGACTCCTCTTAAGGCTTGATTTCCGCTTTGGCGTCGAATCTTCGCCCGACCCAGGTTTGCTGTCCTTCCCGGCCAAAGCTGCCGCAGTCACGGCAGCCGCGGTGACTATACCTGCACCCTGGGCTGCTTTCTTTAATCCTGAATCTCTCCTGCGTTTTCTTTCCTCAGCCTGCCGATGCTCCTCGTAGAGTCTCTCAAGCTCTCGTTCGATCTCAGCAACGCGCTCATCACCATCAGAAGGTCTACGAGTCGCTTCAGAAGACCGTCTACTTCGTGGCTTTCTCTCTTGGTGGGGTACTTCGACTCGCCTAGTCGAAGTCTCCGCGAGGTTGCCTGCATCAGCGGACTTTCGCTGGGCATTGTCGCTTGAAGTAGCTTTCCCCCTATGGAGCCGGTCTTCAACGCGTCTTTCGTTCTCGAGCTGCTCGTCGGTCAGGCTGAAGTTGACGCTGTTTCTCGGGTCCTTCGGGTCCTGCGTGGGTAGCTTGGCAGGGCTTGAGTCTCGTCTTGGTCGCCTTCTTTCACTTTGTGCCTCTCGACCCATGCGTCTTTGGACGTCGGTCGACTGGGAACCAAGGTCGTTGATAAAAGGGGCGACCGGAACGACCGGTTGCGGCTGCTGGAGCGGGACAGACGTCGACGAAACACGCGTCACCTGGGGCGCGACTGCTTTTGACGGTGGATCTGATAGTGGTCGAGGCTCAACCTCCCGCATCGGTGGCAAGGGGCTCATCGGCAGTCTAGGGTCTTGGTGCATTGCGTCTGACGCCATCCATCCTCCCACTGCTCCTGCAGCTGGTGCGACGGTGGTTTGAGTTGCGGAGTTGGGGAAGGAGGTCGTCGGACCATAACCTGCTTGGCCATCGTGGTACATTCTCTGATCCCTCTCTCTGAGATTGTGGCTGGGCCTTGTTGACTTTCGATCCTGGATAAGGGACTCTCGACTTTGCGCGGCAGAAATTCCTCCCCCGTACGCCAACGCGGTGTCGACGCTCGTATCAGACTCGGCATCACCATCCGTGTCGTACCATTCATCATCACGTCCGCCGGTTTCGTGCTCGTCCATGGATATCCTGTGTTCGCTTGCATGTCTGCTACTTCGGCCTGCATACCTGTCAGTGTCATGCTCCCGCTTACCTTTTTCGTGCCTCCTATCAACTTCAGCCGCGAGTGCAGCCCCTGTAGCCACCATCCCCATCATCGCCGCAGCCGAGTGGTCCGGTTGAGGTTTCTCACGTCTCGTGCGTAACCGCCTTGCGGAAGGCTTTCGACGGACAGTGCCGGCCCCAAACTGAAGATCCGCGTCCGACGAAGAACTGGAATCGTTCCCAAAATTGAACAGCCCTTTTGGTTTCTTGCCCTTCTTCGTGTTGGCTGAAGGAGAGGTGAAGAAGCCGAATAGGCCACCACGCCCCTCATTGGTCGCTGAAAGATCCACATAAGAATGCATTGGGGACACCCGTTTTGAAAAGTATCTTTCCCTTGACGTGGGTGATCGGCTTCTGCTTCGACTCTGCGGCCGGGTCTTTCTATCCAGCGCCGCAGCACCCATAGCAGCGCCAGCAACAGCAGCACCAGCACTCATTGCCGCACCACGAGAGATGCCATGTGAGGAGGAGCTGGAGGAAGATGACCGAGATCTGCGACGTCGGGGCTTCTCTTTGTGCGAGGATTTTTCGGATTTCTTCGTCTTCCTATCACTGTCGCGTCTTTGGAGCCTGACGTCTCCATAGCGTTCATACTGGGGCTCGTCGTGGAAACTGACCCTGCTCTGATTCACAGGTTGGCCTGATTTCACAGAGTACGTGTCGTCAAAGTCGTGACGTTGCTTGTACATAGCCTCACCCACTTTAGCAACACCATAACCGGCCAAACCACCAAGCGCTACCTTTGTGCCAGAGCGTTTCCGCCGCTCCTCGTCGGAAGAATATCTGTACGTCTTGTCTACTCGAGTAGTGCTTCCGTGCCGACCACCGGAAGGGGTTCGACGGCGATAGCCATGTTTGCGAGGCGCATCTGCTGGTGTGCTCATAGGGTCAAAGCAGTATTTGCATACACCGATTGCCTCCGTGTATTGCTCATATTGCGCAATTGCTTCAGGATCTCGCCACCAGTCGACAAATTTGCCAAAGAGACCCTTGTGCTTGTGCCGATGGGCCTGATGCATCTGTGCGCCATGCGACTGGGCATGCCCATTCGCATGAGCAGAGGTATGGGTCGAAGCCTGCTGATGGCTGTGGGAGTGATGCTCGTGACCATGAGATGATATGTAAGCTCCAGCTGCTGCGCCAGTGAGTGCCGCAGCTCCGCCGTACAGGGCCGCATTGGAATGGTATTGCGAGCCGCCTATCCCAGGGGGAGCGGAGTGCGGAGTGAATCCTGGGTGTTGCCCAGGCGGCGGTCGACTTGGTGTCTGATATGCGCTTGCAGACCCTCCTCCGCCTCCTGCATAATACTCGGCTGCAGCCCCAACCACAGCGGCTGCGGGTGCTGCGAAACCTATTCTACCTGGAGTCTGCGTAGACGGTGTCATACTCCCCTGCGGCACAGGGCTTGATCTCGGGCTCGCGCCGTATGTGCTGTGCTTGACCGGCCTGTATGATCCGGAACCCAGCCGGGGAGGCTTCGAAGGGGTTGTTTGATGTCCAGAATCATTCTCGTAATTAGTATCGCCGTAAAAGCTCGCGGCTGCACCAATCTGGCCCAAGCTGCTGGGCTCAGGTGGAGGCTTTGGTTCTACTGTAGGCTCCATGAGGTGTGCTTGTTCCGCATTCGTCACAACGCTCGGTTGGTTGGGTCGGACGCCCGGTTGGGACTGTACTGATTCTCCATGGTCGTTATAGTACTCCGCAGCCAATCCGGGCGGTCGGTATGGCTGAGCGTAGGCATCAGGAAATTCTCCTGGGAATTGATTCTGAGGCAAGGCAGCGTCGTGGTCTCCGAGGGCGTGTGTGCTTCCTCTCTCCTTCTCCCTCCTGTCTGACTTGCCGGACTTGCGAGAGTCGCGGCGGCCCTCTTCCCTAGTTGCGCCTCCCACGTCTCCGCGCCTTCTCTCATCCTTCAGACCTCTATCGCTTTTGCTTGACCTTCGCGTATCATCGTCATCGTTCTCTCTTCTTGAACTTCTCCGCCGCCGGTCCGATATCTCCGAGGGTTCTTCTGTAATCGTAGACGTAAACGTAGCGCCATCGTCGTCGTAGCCGTCGCGTCGGATCGACCTGCGGCGGGAGGGAGCATCAATCGAATCTGCACCGGAATGCCGCCTAGAAGAACCGTGGTCATAGCTGCGACGTCGGTCGGGCCTTGATGACATTTCTGAGCCGGCGCGATCCCGGCCAGAGCTTGATTTCCCCATTGCGCAATCAACTGGGATCGCGAAGCGGTCGGGGCGCTCTGAACATGCGGAGTCAATTCAAGGGAATTCGTTGCGCGAATGTCGTTGAAGGCAGTGGTATCATTACTGGACTGGAAACGATGTCACGTAGCACAGAGAAGATGTTTGACGATAACCATCAATGGTCGCCGTGCGCAGATGAAAGGTGTGTTAGAACTGATCGAGGATTCTGTGTGGACAGGCTGCTTTGCTGGCAGCCGCGCTGATCGAATTGTCTTGCGCGTTATGCAAGTGCGACTGGCCTGAGATTTGAGTGGCTGGGCTCTGCAACGCCAAAGCTGAGAAACACCACAATAGCTCACTCGCCTAACTAGCTTTCATCCTCGGTTGACATGTACGTAAGCCACCTGCGACGCTATGAAGTAGACCTCGAACGAGACACTAAGTATTTGCTTCTTGGGCGCTACTGTCGGAAGTGATACGGATAGCTTGACTGAGCCACTTCTCAATGTTTCACAGGATTTCCACCAGTCAAGCAGTTGGGCCCCGGGCGGCATCGGCACGGCCACTGCCCTCAACTTTGGGTTCAGCTGAGCAAGGGCGGTAGACGCAGCAGCCTCACACTGATTGGTGCCAACCAAGAGCCGTCTGTCGCACCCCAAGGCCGCACAGCTGGGGCGTTTCCTACTTCGGTCTCAAGCCTGCTAGCCATAACATCATGGACCCGGCTATACAACGCTTCTGCTTATTCCTTGTGAGTATAGTATTTCCTCCAATCGTGAACATCCTTGTATCCCAGGACGTCTCGAATCTTCTTGTTGGACAAGGGTGCCTCCCATTCACCCATCTTTCTCGTGATCGGTGTGTTCGGGCAGGTCTTCTTCAGATATTCTTCTGTCGGCGTTGTAGTGGTAATGGTGTCATTTGTCGCATTAAACACCTGGAAGCCCAAGCCGTCTTTGGCGACGCAAAGGTCGCAAATCTGACCAAGGTCTCGTGCATCGATGTAGCTCCAGGCGTTCCTCTTCCTCGTTTCGGGCATGCCAACGAATTGTGGAAAGTTCTGCTCGTAATCCTGTGGTTCGATGACGTTGCCGACAATCAGGGCATAGATATCAATGTTGAAACGGCGCGCAAATGCGCGGGCAATTCTTTCGCCAGCCAACTTGCTGCAGGCGTATGTGTCCTCCGGGTTCCGGTCGTAGTTGTCCTCTTCGAGCGGGAATTTCAAGTAGTCGTCGTCACCTTGTGTGAAACAAACACCGTACGTCGTCTCACTGCTGGCGATGACGATTTTCTTCACTCCCAATTTGGCAGCTGCTTCGATGACATTGTACGTGCTCATGACATTGCCACGGAACGTCTCGCTGTCCGGTACAATCATATTGCGGGCATACGCAGCAAAATGGATGACGGCGTCGGGTGGACCGGGATGTTTTGGTAACGCGTACTCGTCCATTGAGAACAGCGATGACAGGGCGTTGAAGACTTGCCCGCTATCGGTGAGGTCGGTCTTCATGGTATAGACATTTTTACCGGCCGGAATATGATCCTTTGGAAAGTCCACCAAATCGAGATTCAACACTTGGTGTCCTTTCTCCAGAAGATATGGGATACAGTGTCGGCCAGCCTTTCCAGACCCGCCAGTGAAGGCAATTCTTTTTCCGGTGGTAGCCATGGTGCTTGGATCCACGGTATAGCAGTTTTGATGGGGGCCGAAGACTCAGTGCAAATAAGTTCGAGGTGCAAGTGAAGAATTCACGACCTATCCAGATCGCGGGAAAGTGATGACATGACAGAGACCGGGAGTATTGCCGATCGTAGTCCGTGTCCAGGGTTCATTCTGCCTGAAATAGGAAGCTCCATAAGTCAGAACACGGCACTTCTTTTCCTTTGCAACTTATTCGCATCGTGGTCGCTACGCCGGCGGAAGTTGAAAAAACTCGATTTCTGCTTCAAGTTATGTTGTTGTGTAGGGATGGGCGTAAGGAAACTGGACTGGGAAGCGGCTCCGGACATGTAGGGAGCAGGAGAGTATCCGCCCCAGGCATTGGCATGTTGGGGCACAGAAGAATGCCCCTGCTGTGCTTGGGCATATGCAGATTGTCCAGTTTCAGAGTGATGCCTTCCTTGTGGAGGACCTCGAGGAGGTATGTTCGGGCGAACAGATGCATCTTCTCGACCATACATTCGCTTCACCCACTCTGTCTCCTGCTCAACTTTGGCTTGTTGCATTCTTCGCTGTTCCTTCTCCTCCCTTTCCAGCAACTGCCTTGTCAACCTTTCTTCTTCCTCTTCTCTGCGCTTTTTCTGCCGTTGTTCCTCCATGGCTTGCCGCCGCAGTCTCGCAGCCTCGGCTTCGAGTTCCCACTGAGTTCGAGGGTCTGTTGGAGGTACTCGGGAATCTTGGACAGGCGACGCTGACTGAGTAGCAGCATCCGGGTACAAAATAGTGGGCCCACTAGAGTCGTTCGCAGTAGACTTCTTTCTCGTGTTCAGGTTGAAAGTGTCTTTGAGAGTTCCAAAGTAAACATCTCGTATGACCGCAGCTCCGAGCAGAAGAACCACCTCCAGTCCTTTTAGGTCCTCAACGTCGACTCTCTGTAGGTTCGGCTCATACAGGGTCAACTCTTTCAGGCTCTGGAATATTGCTACCGTTATGTCTGGATCTCGGTGTTTCGCCTTGCCCTCGATATCCGTGCTCTTGCCAGACATGAAACAAGCTAGGTCTTTCGAGAACTTGCTGTCCTTCTTCCATTTAAACACAATTTTCGGTGTGACTTCTGAACCAGCAGGATCGTGTTGCGTGCGGTCCAACACGGAACCTGAAGGCGCTCGAAAGGTCTGTTGCGGCATTTCAAATTCCCACGCCGCAGCTTTGGTGACACTTGCTGGTCTATGCCTTACAATGATTTGCTGGTCTGGGTTGTACAGCTGTATCGCAAACTGGGATGGGAGGATGGGCTCTGGTGGAGGTGGAATTGCGCCATTCGCTTTCGCTTGTTCTGACAGTGGCGGAGGCTGTGTCCATTCTGGAATGAGGAGCACTTCCGCGTAGAGGACATCGGGGCTGTAGGCATCGTAAAGAGCTGCGGCATATCGGTTTCTCGAAGCATGTTGCTCCGGATCTAGGTGTCGCAGCGTGTAATGAGGCTCAAACTCGGCCCCATGCTGGGAGAAGAGGAAGGTCGATAGTTGCTTCGGTTTCTCTTTGGATGGCTTCAGAACAAAAGCTGTGCCCATCAGTCAAGTACTCCCTGACAAAACGAGACACAGGTGTCACACGTACTTGGAAGATTCTCGTCCAGCATCTCTTCGAGAGATGTGACAGTCAAGGGCGATTAGGAGGATCACGTCTACGGTCCGCGCATAACGAGGTAACACTTTCACAGGAAGAGACGTGGAGAGAAGAACGAATCTTTGGTAGAACTAACTGGATTATCAGCTTGTAAAGGGTACTTCATCATCAACAGGCGCAGCAAGTGTGTGATACGCGCCCCTCTTACTCCGTATTGTGGGCGTCTTGCTAGGCACAGCCACATATCACGAATGCAGCCTTGAGCATGTCACGGCCGCAAACACGCCGACGCTCAGGCGACCGAAAGGCTGCAAAATACCCCAGGCTCGCGCCTAAGGGCCCCATCAGGTTTAGTGAGACCCAAATAAGAACGTTTGGCCTACCCAATTGTGCGTCATCCACTACTGCGACTGTCCCAATCGAGCGGGTCAGCACCAGGCACGATAGAGTGACAGAGTGCAGTAATGTAACTTACTACGATTTACAGGAGAAAGACACGCGTCTACCAGAAACTTAATTCTGTGTAAGGTTGAATCGCATACCTGCAGGCAGGGTTGCTCATCACTACTGAAGCCTCAGAGCCTCCTCGTCAAGCACGCCGAAAAGATTCTCCACCTCCCTCAGCACCCTCTCGACCCCGAGGCTTAGCTGGCCGGTGACGAGGGCATACGTGTACAACAGGCTATAGTCTTCATCCTTGACTTTCTGCTCCTGCGCATCGCTTCTTCGGTACTCAAATACTTTCGCCAGCAGCCTGTCCCTCGTGTGCTCTATGCTCGGCAACGCGTCACTGGTGATTGAGTACTCAAGCTTCATCGAGCTTGCCAAAACGCTGAACATGTGACTGATGCGTCGACACAGTTGCGCTCGCTCATTGACTGTAGCCTTGAGCAAAGCTTCTTCGCCCGGTGAAATGTGTGGGTCCTTGAGGATCACCTCGTTCATGGCGTGGAAGCTTCCCAGCATTTGCTCGGTGGTTTTGAGTATCCGGCTGTAGATCGCGTGTGGGAATGGTCGGCGGAGCTCGAATTCGCTCTTGGAGGTTTCCGCTAGGCTCTGGAGGTTAGCCAGGAATCTCTGCAGGTAGAACTCTTCCCGCAGATTCATGTATCGGTCGGGATGAAGGCCTTCGGTCAAGGTGGCCAACGGATCCCTTTTCCAGATCAATCCCATTCGCAGCCACAGCAGTGCTAGCCCGTCCTTCAGTTTTTGCCGTGCAGAGATAGGCCATACAGCCCGGGTGATGATCAGGCCCCATATGCAACCCGAAATGACGGCGACTACTCGATGTCCAGCAATAGTGACGATAAGAGGATGCTTGCCGGCATGCTCTTCGTCTCCGTCGTCCCTGTCCTCAACTCCTGAGAGACTATACGCATAGAGCGCGCTGAGATTGTACGTCAACATGATGAATCGTCCCATGGGACCTTTGCCCTTTCCAATGATGATGTATGCTGTCCAGTATGCCATGCCGAATCCAAGGAGCGCCAGGACAATTGGGTTTTCCCTTGATATCTCCCAGACGGCCACAGCGAGGAAAGCTCCAAGACAAGTTCCAAGCACTCGGGAGTAGCCCGTAGTATTCGAAGCTCCAATCGTCATACTGCACACAAGCATATATGTCACCAAGCCCCACTCTCCGCGCCAGTGCCGGTATATTGGTCGTGTAGCAGGTATAAAACTCGGCGCGGCATATAGCATTGCACCCAGACCCACCTTGATGGCAAATCGGACATCGTCGCGCTGAAGGAAGGATGCTGCTGCGTACAGGTAACGGAAGAATATTTGTTTGACGCGTGGTTGGTCAGGCCAATGAGGCTCGTCGTGGTGTCGCCCGACCCTGAGATTTTTGTTGCTCACTTGGAGTTCGGCCTCATCAGACCTCTTCACCGTTTTCGCAAAGTCGGATTCAAGGCCATCCAAATCAGTTTCACCGTACCGTGATCGCCAGAACTGCAACCATCGCCAAGTCTTCCCAGCTGGTTGCTCATCGACTTCGAGCTGGAGTTCATCGAGGATGATAAGATATTGTTTGACAGATTCGGCGACCTCAACCAAAGAGTAAGAGAAGTGCCCACAACACGCAGCGGCATCCTCCCAGTCTGCTTGCACATGTATCGGACGAGAGCGATCCATGTCCTTTTGACTGTACACCACAAGGAGCGCCTGACGTCGGGAACTCCGGTACAGGTCAAGTGCGCGGTCGAGACTAGATTTAAACTTCGGATTGGTCGTGACAACGTAGTGCTTGGACGCATCAAATGGGCAGTCGTCCAGGATCTCCTTGAGCGTGAATGCCAAGGATCTCATAGCTGGACCTAGGTTCTGGATGAAAAGCTCGAAAATTTGCCCAGGTGTTCTGAACGGGGCCGGATTTGTAGAACCACGCTGTGAATTGGCTGTCAGAGTTGGCGACAGTGGTGTAAAGTAGCTCAAGATGTCACGGTCATTTGCTATGATTCTGGAGCTCTCCATGGAATCCATCCAACCCGCCGTAGCAGGATGCTGTGCTGAGGATTCGATGGGACCGAATGCAGGCTGTTTGGTGACCACGAATTGCATGGCTGCGGCACTTCGCAGACCACCGATGCTCTGAGAGATTCGCTGAATGCACTGGGAGAGTCGGGCTTCGATCAATGCCTGTCGCTCGGTGCCTAACAGGTAATGTTCATACCGTGCTTCTTTCAAATTCTGAGTGATGGTGGAAGACGCCTTCTTGTGCTGATCGCTGATCCCTTGCAACACATGATCCTCCAGCTCTGCCTCGTCCCCGGACAAGAAGCTACTAGTGATCAGCGCCAGCATGTCAGCAAGAGCGTCGGTAACCTGGATAAGATTCTTCCTCAGCTTGTGCCTGGCGGAGATGGGAAAGATCAAGAACGAGACTAGCATCGTCGCCAGGACCCCAGCCACAATCATCTTCAGGATCTGGAGGATCGACTTCGCGGAATAGTCCCCAGCCTGGATTGCCCCTTCTTTCGTGAGGATGGTGACCAGACTGAGGGATACAAGCGAGCATGCTATGTTTACCAAAGGATCGTTCTTCTTCAGCTTGACCCATGCTACCACCCCGAGACCACCGCCGACGAAAAAGATCAGCACGATAGCGTGCCCAAGTTCAATAAGATGGACCGTGTCTGCGAAGAAAGCCGCAACGGTCATGCTCATAAAGGAGACGAGGGCAACGTAGAGAAACGCCGTCGTCGCCAGAATGAGCGCATCGAGCATGCTTCCCAGGGATCGAGCAGGATGGAAGTAAACCGTGATCGTCGCGACCATGTGCTTGGAGTTCTGTCGGCCGAACAAATCGCTCAATTGCGGGACGAAGGTAGCGAGACTGCCCAGGAGGTATGCGAGGGCGCATTTGAAGACTCCTTTGCCAGTGTCAGAGAGTATGAATTGCTTGACCTGTTTCAGAAACTCCAAGCTCTTGGACCGCAGCCAACCATGTTTGGGAGAAGTGGACGTGTCGGCCTCACGACTTTGCCCGAGGAGGGGACTGGCCTCGTCAACGCTGTCGTGGGAGCCATCGAAAGGGTCGAAGTTGTGGAGGGTGAATGTTTTGCTCAATCGTGCGCCAGTGGAAGGGTCAATGTAGGATGATTGACGCAGCTGCGTAGCAAATTTAGCATGTAGTTTTCACACAGGCCACCTACCACTTACGCTCGCCCTGGGATTCAGATCGGTCACGTCGGCATCACTGTCTTCTGAGCTGGAGGCCATGTTTCAGGTGGTCTTGTCAGACCATTGCCGCCGGGCAGAATAGCCTTGCTTATAGGTGCCATGGCGGCCTAGAGGTAGTCATGATGAGAACAGATGGCACTTTGTAGACCCGGAGTCGTGGGATGTAGACATTGTGCTGCTTTTGGCAAAGCGTTCACAACTGCTCGTGGCTCCTCGTCGGGATTCGGCTGGCCCTCGGCTCGAACTCGCCTCATAAACTCAAAATACGCCTCACATTTCGCGTTCGAGTACCTACCTTGTGTAATCTTCTGACCAGGACGGGCGTTCTGGATACGTGTCCATCCGACACCATGTATCTTGTTCCGGTAGTTCCACAGCGTCTCGCAAGTAGAGAAAATGCATTTCCAGCGCTTGCAAAATAGCCGAGAGAAAGATTATGGGGCGGATTGGTCAATAGCTTCCACTTCCTCGAAGACGAAAAGTACTACTGTATGAACAGGTCTACCACGTCGAAAACTGGCATTATGATCGAAGTGATTTCTTTATGCGCATCAGATATCGGCGTCCTTGGTCAAAGCTGAACCAAATGCTACACCAGATTCGGGAGGGGCTCTTCACCTGCTCCCTAGGTATCCATCACGACCATCGTCTCTTCAAGGTTGCCCCGTCCCATACGTTCGCGCTGATTGTTCCACCCAGTCCCTCGCCAACATATAGCGCTTTTAGTCGTACTCAGCTGTTGTTTGCAACTGTACGGCCTGCTCTTGACATCCGCATTTGCCACCCATCTAATTCCACTGCTTCCGCATGCACATTCGGCCTACTTTCCGCAAGAGAAGAGTGACCAAGTTCTCTGCTAGGTAGCTCACCGATGTAGCTCTTGGCTGGCTGGGCACTAAAAGTATACACATTGTCCCTGTCAATACTGTTGGCGTACGAAGGCGGCTTGGCTGCGAAGAGTTTTCTGCGGTACCGTCGTGGTATTGCGATGAAGCCGATAAGCAGAAGCAGGGGTATGCCAAGCCCAAGGCCGACACCAACACCAATCGTCGTGCTTGATGAGGAGGTGGACGGGCTAGCGGTTTGTGGCGCGGGAGGAACTGGGGAAGGTGTGGATGTGGCTGTCGCTGTGGTCGTTGGTTTTGACGTCGATGTGGCTTGGGTAGAGGGAGCCAGTGTGGATGACGCTGGGGAAGACACCAGCGGTGTCGTGTTCAGTGGTGCTGTATCTGAAGCTGCGGTCAAGTTGATGTAATGGGAGGTTGTTGCTCCATCCAGATCCTGTGCTCCAGCTGGTGTTAACGCCAGGAAGAAGACATTGGACTGATTGAGGCTGAATTGCTGTGGTGTGACTGTCCAGGAAAACCCTCCTTCTTCATCCGAGCCGAGTATTTTCGCTACAAGAGCCGATCAGCAGACGCAGTCACTATGTGGAGGGGTTGTTCGAGAGAGGGAAGGGAGATCTCTGGACTCACTGTATATTGGGCCGCTACCTTCGGCAGCAGACTGGACACCAAGGCTTTGCTGCCATAGGAATATGTTGTAGTCATCCTCATCAGTGACCCATTGAATATCAATCACCGAACCAACAGCGTAGGCCTTGTTTTCCGCAAAGAATAGTTCGCCTCCCGCCGCAGGAGGGTTGACAAAATAGGTGGAGGGCGTCTGGCAAAGGACATGCGCAAAAAGAAAGATCGCAATGGCGAAAAAGGTGTTGTACATTGCAACAAGAGAGAAGTCGGAACTACCTGCGAAAACCGTGATAAACGGGAGCAAGGCAAGGGAGAAAAAGTATCGCTTGGAATGGAGAGCTCTGCGGGAACCATAGACGAACAGCTCAGCTCCTCAGTTCACCTTAGGACAGAGTGAAAGAGATATTTGGGTCATCTCCGGCCCAAGTGTGAGGATGGTATCAGAATGTACGGTCACATACAACTGGTGGCGGACTGACCTCGCATGCCATCGAAGGTGTCTTTCGAGAGTCACCCCCGATAGTTCGAGCATCGCTACACTGTTGATTCAAGAGACATATATGCAGGACCGATCTGTGAATAGTACCTAGGTAGCGTTTGTTGAGCTTGCAGGTCAGAAGTTTGGAATTACCTTAGGCACCATGGGCAGGGTCACTGCGAGAGATGAATCGAAAGCAGCTGGCTAGACCCGGGCTCTGCAGGGAATCAAGGTCTTCTAAATAGCCGGGATCACCTTAAAGATCGCCATATTCTATGTTGGAGTGGTTGTAGCTGCGAATAAGGGAAGGACATGATGGAGATATTTTGGTTCGGTTTGATGCACTGTATGCGGCGCTTGTTCCTTGCTCAGATTGGTGGTTAGGACGCCTAACGGAACGGCTCCAGTAATTCGCATGCCGGCAACCTCGTACGTAGTAGCTTGGATGGCGCAGTTGGGGTTGGGACTAGCAAGGAGCAGATGTGGCGGCAAGCTTCCGAGACGAGGCTTAGCAGAAAGGCAATCTGCTTGTGGGGGCGCATATCGGGGTGGGTACGGCCGGGGGTTACTGTGAGGAGTCAAACCAGGCCATCAAGTTTCAGTGCAATGTGCCTCCATGGGCTCTTCCTAACAATGAATGGCGGGGCGTTTCCGGGACAGCAAGGTATGCCGTATGCCGTCAAATAGGATCGTTGAGCTTTGACAATCGTACAAAGGGCCAGAAGCAGGGAGCAAATGTCAGGTCACGAAATGGCGTTTCCCGAACAAGGCTCTCGAGGTCTATTTAGCTGCGAGACCGTTTCGCTTTGTGACCGAATAGCACTCAACAACGAGTCAAGAGGACATTCGACGTGAAGAGAAGCTTTCAACCAAAGCAGACACTTCTAGGATATCCTAGCTAGGGCGCTGGCTTGCACAGAAAGCCATCCCTGCAGTGCCTGAACCGCTCATGGTGCGCTCCTTTGCCTCTGTCATGAACAGCATTCCTTCTCAGCCAAATCGGATCACCATCTTAGCATTTTTGTCTTTTGTTGGATTTCTCTTCCTCTTCGTAGTTTGGCATCCCTCTTCCTCAAATTTCGGTGTCATTTTCCAGCACGCGTCATCGTCACGCGGCGGGATCAGCAGTTCACGCCAAAAGTCACTGCAATTTATCCACAATGCCACCTTAGGGGTATGTCTTCAGCTCGTGCGGCCGCCGTACACCTTGCTAAAGAACACTCAGTTTGAAAGAATCCTTGCCATCAATTTGCCCGAGAGAACCGACCACAGGGATGGCCTGATACTTGCCTCTGCAGTGTCAAACTTGCACGTTGAGTTTGTGGATGGTGTGCGTGGTGACACAATTCTTGACAAAGTCCTCCCGCCCGATCATCCGGAGCATATTGACCCGGCTCGACTTGGAAGCTGGCGTGCCCATATCAATGCTATTAGCCGGTAAATATTCCCTCGAAGCCGGCGCGGATGTCAAGGGCTGATCGCTCCCAGAGTCGTGGAGAATAACTGGACGTCAGCATTGATCCTTGAAGATGATGTGGACTGGGACACTAGGTTGAGACCTTTGCTCACGGATTTCGCATTGGCCTCTGACACCGTTCTCTCGCGGCATGACTCGACTGCGCTGAAGTTCCACGAGCTTTCCTACTCGCACGTTCCGAGAACGTCACCTTACGGAGATGGCTGGGATGTCCTGTGGCTTGGACACTGTGGAATGGAGATAGCTGACTCCTCTTCCACCGTGATCCGAGAGAACGATGAGACGGTGCCCGAAGTTCGTTTTCTCCATTCGTGGGATCGAGATGAGGTCTCGCCACTGGCGGACTATCCACCACATACGCGACTCGTGGGTGAACAACACGAGGGGGTTTGCTCACTTGCGTACGCTGTTTCTCAAAGCGGTGCTCGCGGGCTCCTGAACAGTCTTGGTCTGAAGCGGGTGGACAACGCTTTCGATTTGATGTTACGCGAATGGTGCGAGGGTATTCATGAAGACCGTTCCCATCGCTGTATCGGCGTTTTGCCTCAGCTGTTCGACCATTACAGACCCATCGGGCCGTCGGAGATCGATAGCGACATCTCAGCTCCGAACGGTGGGTATCGCAGTCAGCCGTTCACACAAAACATCCGCTGGAGCGTGAGGCTCAATATGGACAAACTCCTGCGTGGCGAGACCGACTATACAGACCAGTGGCCGGACTCCAATGTCTGAATTCGAAGAACATATCAGGTGCAGACAAAAAATGTCAAAGAGTCGGGTGGAATACGTGGGAGCATGTTTAGGAAAGGTCGACCACACACATAATGAACGTCGTCCACAAGCCTCGAGACCAGTGGAGAATCGTCAAAGCCCACTGATGGTCAAGATACGCAGATTGGACATGTCACGCCGCGAGTAGTGTAGACGACACTAAGGCTTTGTCGGATAGGAACGCGGAGCTCGAGCAAAGGGGACCCAATCAGCCACAATGGCAGTGGTGAGGGCAAACCTCGGATACGACTCCAAGGCTTCACAAGCGATAGGAGAGATCAAGCCTTCGATGTTTTGCACGACGGCTCAGAGCATCGACACAGATGATAGCTTGAAGGGCGGCCCCCGTATCATCACATCCACCTAACGATGGTTTGCACAACAACTCCCACAAATCACCCCAACGAAAACACAAAGGCAGTCCTACTTAAGGTGGCCTCCTCCACTACTCTGCCAAGGTTGGTCGTCGCGCCCGTTCTTCCCGAGAATCTCGATATCACCTGTGGCCAATGCAAATGCAGAGTAATCCGCCCAGCCGAGCGTTGACAGGTTGCTCTGGCAATCGATCGCTTGTCCCTGCCCGATTGTTTGCTATGACCCCATCATCACGCTTCCACCAACTATTACAGTTCGGATCTTAAAACGACATTGTCTGCAACGCTGGCTGCACGTCAGGCCAATACCCCACGGCCGTTTCTTCAAGCGGACAGAGCGCTAGGTTTTGACCTTGGCGCCGTCCCTAGAGGACATTATCGATGAGGACGGAGATGAATTTGGTCTTCTCTTCAATGACGTGGATGAGGAAGTTGCGGGAGACATTGGTGTTCGGAACGTACAGCAATTTAAACTTAGGCAGATCCGTACCGTCACCCCTTGAATGATACCTAAGTAAGGAACATGAGCCCAGATCTTAAAGTCACGGCGCTCTCATCTCGTCCAGTTATTGTGCGGGGCCGACAGGAATGAGAACGTGTCAAACGCAGTCGCCAACACAATCAGATGGAACTTGTCCATAGAATCATTTCCCTTGAATTCATAACCATAGGCCGCGAACCGCTCGATCGCATCCGTTGCCAGGTTGACATTCCTCCAGTACAATGTCGTGTAGTAATCATCGCTAGCCACCGTCCGTTCACAAAACGGATGATACGATAAGGGGGAAGCTTTTCCCAAAGATCAGGCCAATCTGGCAGTCGCTCTCCCAGCACTGAGCAGATCGGAGTTCATCGGCCTCATCAGGTCAGCGTACGTGGACTCTGACTTCGTCACAGCGGATGGAACGACCCTCTGGTGTCCATGGCCTCCGCTCGAGCTCGTGGCCAAACTGGCGGGAAACAGGTGCACGATGTTTGATGCCAGTCGTGGCGAGGGATCATCCGGGCTCGCGTGCTTCGAGAGATGGTGAGGCGAGACACCACTTCTGCGGTTTTCGGCGCGATCTGAGCTGCGGAGGCGCGTGAGTAAGGTCAGAATAGCAAGCAGCAGCAGTCGGACACGACATAGCTGACTTGTTTTATGGGACATATTGACACTGAATACTAAAATATGACGAACAATCACTCTGCGCTGCCAGCAGCTGCCTGCTATATCAAGAGAACTGAGAGGCATTCCTGGAGGCGTTGCCGCAGCATCGCTGATACCCTGTCCTTCCGCCGCGCCCGTTGTTAGAAAGAGATCCTGTGATAATCACGCAAAGCGGTAGCCCTCGTGTGCGAGCGTGCTTTGTGAGTCGGCTGTCGAACGGTCACAGCTTGTACGGATGCCGCAAAGGGAGCACGACTTCAAGACCGGTGCCGTGACCGGAGTGGGTGTCGTGGTGAGTTAGAGTGATGAGCACCCGAACAGCATTCTTGGCTGGACTTCCTCAAAGCAGGAAGGCTATCTGGGGCCTAACAGGGATATACAGCGTTGGACCGTAACAAGTAGTTGGCCGAGCCATGGCTCCGGCTCTGAACCCCTGGTCACACTGGGACGTCTCAAGTGCTGGGTCGCCACCGATTGGGAAAGCCATATTGCTCAGGTCGAGACCCAGGACGTGGAATCAGGAAGCAACTGTGACGGAGACAGGTTGATAGTCATCATCGATGGTGAAGGTGGAGGCGATACTTCGTTCCACGACGCGAAAGGTATGGTGCCAGACATATACATGCCATCCGTTTCATCAATTCCGCGTGTAAACCACCGCTGCAGACCGTCTAGGCGCTTGTCGGCTATTCTCGCATCAGAGTCTTGGCACGGGCATGAAGAACGAAGACAAGGTTATTTGATGATATGTCTGGGTGTCTTCTTCAAGAAAGGCACCAAACCCTCGACCGTATCGGACGTTGGGCAATCCAGCGCGAATGCCTGGCGCCGCCTTTTCTTTGGCAGCTCTCGAAAAGTTCAGGGGCAAGTAGACCGATGCTGTCTTAACTTCGGCACCTAAAGACGGATCGTATGGGCATTTGACGAAAAGAATCCGTATCTCGCCCGTCTGCCAATATTGGTGGTCCTCCCAAATACGAAGCCGTCGAGACTCTGGTACGTCGATTGCTTCGGTCACATTAAGACCTTCTTCTTCAAGCTCCATAAGTGTCTGCATTATAGTGCTGCCTGTGCCACCCTGAAGGTCGCCTTCGTGTCGATTCGTCTGAGCTAGCAGAGCAATGGCTGACCTTCGGATAATTGGGTCACGACAACGTCCAGCGACGAATGCGAGGGTGTCAATGACGCCAGAATCGATTCCGAACGATGTAGTCCTAGGCGATTTGGCTGGGTTTCCGATTGCATCGTGATACAGCTCGATGATCTCCGCAAACTTGTCCACGTGGCGGTCATAGTGGCATTCCTCGCTGGTCCCAAGCGTATCGTACAGGATTGAGGCGACGAGTGCAGCCGCCCGAAGGAGCTTTTTGGAGGTGATCAATGCCTCGTACCGTTCGAGTTTCGTCACGGGAGTATCATCGAGAGCTGCGATCCAGTTCGACAGTAGAGCTTGCACCTGTTCTCGTGGTTCGCAGTGTGATAGCGAGGAATCGATGTTTTCCTGGCCCCAGTCCAATATCTCTTCGAGCTTGTTTCGTCCCTCTAGAAGGTTACCAAAACAGTAGGGAATTTCCGGCAGCGCCAGACGATGTTCTGTCTTGCTTCGGTTGATGGCCGCGCTAAGTGTCAGTGCGGAAGGGATATCGACGATGCTACAAAATCGCATCCTCAAGCGCTCGATAATGGGTCGGAGCAAATTGTTCAGGACAGTCTTCTCACTGTCAGACAGAACAAGCTCGCCAGATGCCAGTCTTGCATCGATGTCGGTGATGAGGCTGTGACCGGATTTGAGTAGCTGATAAGCTGTGCGACTATCCTGTAAGTTCTGCAGGCAAATAAATATGACGCATGAGATCAGGGTCGTGATGTCCGACATTGCTGTCTCATAAGCCATGCGAGATGCTTTGCTGCTTTGATGCAATGCCAGCCGCTGCAAGTCCGAACGCTCATCCGACTCCCCGTCCGCCTCGGAAGACTCATGAAGGGCACCAAGAGCGACGACTCCGTGAAGTATAGATCGATTGAGGTGACATGCTTGCAGAATAAGTCTGTTCCAAAACGCTGCATCTCTCCACCCAGACCATTCTGGAGCCGTCCTATGGCAGAAGAAAACCAGGCTGCGGACTTCTTCGGGCTCAAGTCCTGGGAAGGTACTAACAGCCTGAAGTAACCTACTGGATGGACTAATCGGAGACGTATAGGTTGGTGACATTCCGGAAAAGATTGAGCGCTGATGTTCGAGCCTTCGAGCGGGTACGTTCGTATCTAGGCGGAGCTCTGGCTGCCCGACAGCGGCGACCTGCTGTTCAGGTGATGGCCTATCTTTTGGTCTTCGCTTCCGAGGCGACTTGTCGCTTGTTGGTGCAGGTCTGGCGGCCGCCTCCGCCTTGGCTCTGACCTGTCTTTCGTGCTGGACATGCTTGCGGATTTGTTTCGTTTCGGCCCTGGAGCTTCGGGAGAGGACGGTTGAGCCAGTGTCCTTATTGATCCATAGTAGTGATTCTGGCATTGCGTTGGATCAAAGGGGGCTGCCTGTTCGCGACCGCCAAAATACGTTGATGACAATCGTGCAACAAGATGCAACTTCTGGTTTCGGCGCGTGCTACGAGCTGCTCTGTCAGGAAGTTGGGTGATCGAAGCGTTGTTGTCATTGTGGCAACACCACCATCGGCGACTTCGAGGTCATATCTGATCTGCTAGGACCAGCCGTTCAAAAGTTCCAAGCAATAGCAAACGAGTTTCTCGGTCGAGACTCGAGAGGTTACGTGTATTCGACCGTCGGAGTAGGAATGGCCCGTTTCAAATTCGCTGCTAATGCCCATGGGCTTGACTTGGCATTGAGCCATTCCAGACAGCTTTGGTGCCTCGAGCTATACGGCGTACTGCCACTGCGTTCTGGGGTAGCTGAAGAGGTCTGGACGCGATGCTTACCGGGATAGAATCTCCAGACAAGGGGAAGAATCTTGGGGAAGCCAGCAAGTGAGGTTGGAGCTAAGTCAGACTACCGCGTAATTACGACCACCTGCAGGAAGTTCGCCTCTCGTTCACATAGACCGGGGGGTTGGGTACGAGCCCTCGGTTGGTTCTTTCGCCATCGCTAGATCACTCCATGGGCCTTCTAGCGCTGCCGAGAATCAAGACCTTGCGAAGCCGGTGACGCGGCACCTTCCGTATACACAGTACAAGCAGCAGACTGACATGCAGTTCTGAAAATGGTAACTATGCGCGGTTCTGAAAATGGTAACTCTGCGCGCGCAGCAGAAAGATCAAGCCGTGGTGGCCTTTGCTTGCAATCTTGGCACCACACGTGACCAGCCTCTGCAGTGGCTCTGCAGCCCTGATACTCCGTAGGGTAATGTACAATGCAGGGTAGTTAGGGGAGTCAATGCAGGGCTGTCTCGGAGCTACTCATTGCTGCTTTTACATTTGTTAAACCAGCTATCACTCCGACTTGATCGCTTCCTTTTCGGGTTCCGCCGCCTTGTTTCCATTGCTGCTGTCACCGGACTGTCCCTCAAGGACCTCCATCCCATCCTGAGTGACGTGTACATTGATCCGAGGACCCTTGAACCACTTCCTGGCATCAATCGCATACCAGGACATGGCCAAGAACATTGAGCCTCCATATATCAGGCAAGTCCAATTCATCGTTAACGAATTAAGATCATTGCCCTTGACAGCCGGGAAGCATAGAGCTGGGGTGATCAGCAACCACCAACCAAATGCCACCGCCCCCAATGGTTTCGACCACCGACCGAGATGCCAAGGACCTGGAAGCACACGAGTCAGCAATGACGCATGCTTGGACACGCGTCCAAACTTACCGGGCTTGAATCTTCCATGATCGAAGAACAGCTTCAAAGCCACGGGCGTGGTGAATGCTGTGTACTGCGCAATGGCACCAATGCTGAATACCGCACCAATCGCGACCGGGCTGGCAAACATCAATAGCCCGAGCAATGCCCCCACTCCCAAGACGCCCCAAGTGGCATACACGGGTGTCTTCGTCTTCGGGTGAACCTGACTCCACCATCTGGAGCCGGGTATAGCTCCATCCCGGGAATAGGCAAAGACGACGCGGGATGCAGTGATGGTACAGCTTTCCCCAACGAAGAATTGGGCAATGATGTTCAGAGAAAACATGGCCAAGCCGGCCTTTTTGCCTAGCACTTGCAGACACAGGCTCCCGAACGGCTGACCATATTGTCCCGCCACGACATCTGGGATATCCTTCACGGTATAACAAATAACCCAAATTACCACCCAGCCAAGATACAATCCAAGCTGCGCAGTCATTACAATGGCCCGTGGTGATGCGATATTGGCGTTGCTGCATTCCTCGGAGAGGTGAAACGGGGCGTCGTATCCCGACATGGTCCAGATTGTGGTGAGGAATCCCATGATTGTGGCCCATGGGACCGGCCATTCGGTGCCATTCTCAAATGTCGTCCAGACATCGTGGCTGTTATTGGTCTTGGGGTGATTGATTGAGCCCGCCGGGAACCAAATGACAAAGATGAGCAACACAAGGATATTCCAAACGGTCCCAACCTTGTTCAGCCAGCCAATGAAAAATGTGGATTGCATGGTGACGACACCGTTGATAACGAGGAGAAGTAGCAGTGTCAGATAGACATGCCATGTCTGGGGTTCGTAGTCAGGATTGGCGATCATCCCGCATGTGATCAACATGGACGCCAATGCGTAGTTGACAGAGCATGGGCCAGTAACGAACCCGCAGAAATTACTCCACCCAACGAAATATGAGGCCAGTGGGCCCCAGCCTTCAGGAGCAAGCACGGCGGCGGCATAGTAAAGGCCTCCGGCGGTAGGCATGCTCGAGCACAACTCGGCCATGGTGAAAGCGGTGGACTGGATGAAGAGTGCCGCAATCAACCATCCCCACATGGCACCACCTGTACCCGAGTAGCCCAAGCTGTAGCCAATCGTAGACGCGACGGAAGGCAGGATTCCCAGAACAGCAAACGAAACTGAGAACGATTCCCAGATGGTGAAGTCTCTGGCATCTGATCAGCTTGTGGCGACGGCCAGCAGCACTGGGGGCCCATACCTCTTGAACTCTTGTTTGTATCCCAGGGCAGCTAGAGTAACCTCGTCCTTGGTGGCACCCTCCTCCACGACCGCATGGGTGTGTTGTTGCGCGAACACGGACGTGACGCCGACCGCGTCCTCGTCAATAACAGAGACGGATCCCTTCCGAGGACTCGCCATGGTCAGAGAGGCTGAAGTGTTGGCAGTATGCGACAGCACGAGGGTCCAGGAAAATAGTGTGGGAAAGCGGGAATAGGACAGACTTTATCCGCACGTCCATCCACGGTGTCGTCGTTGTAGGTTTTAGGGCAATCGATAAGATCGTCTCCGCATGCAGGAGCGATTGCCCGGAGACAGGTGGTGCAGCCATGTTAACGCGAATACCCATGACACTATCCCTCGAAGCAGAAGGAGAGAATGTATCCAGGGTGTTCCAAGGCTTGTCTGGTAAATGCGCGGAGGATGTCCGCTCAGACGCTGCACCACCACAGAGTCCATGATTGGCTTGAGGAAGAGGCTGCGCGGGATGCTGTTGTTGGGCTTATCAGCAGCCGGTGTTCTGCTTCGAGGATGAGAGGCGCACATCTTTAGCTGTCGGCGTCCAGGGTGTGATGCGAGTCGTAGCTTGTGCATTGCCTGTAGAGGCCCGGCCGCTCCTCGCCAGCTCGCCAATTTGAGGGGAGGTAGAGGTTTCATTCGTCACGCCCTGAGGAGAAAGATAGACCTGCAGTCAGTAGCGTGGATGGCTTTGAACTTGCCAAGCGATTGCCCTCGCTATCAATGGTACCAAGATAGTGCGTCGCAAGTATTGGCGATTCTTGCGCTATCTTTATCAAGGCTTGACATGAGCTCCTGCATCGAACGTGGCAATTCCTAGCAGACAGCCCGCAGCTATCTGCGATGGCCTCGATCGCGTTGCCATGTGGCTGTTGTGATGTACCGGTTGACAGGACGCGAGTTCAGGAGAAGTGCATTGCCCGTAACCTTATCAAGGCAACCAGCAGTGCCAGCCCTGTGAGGACGCGGGGAATGTCGTACGTAAGAGCAATCAACGAGACTCCAACCTCGTTCAGGATCCTACCTCATAGAGGCTATTGACAGAGTGCCTGCGTTTGTCAAAGATTTCAATTTCCGTGTAGGAAGGATGATGGCACTGTCACGATAAGAAGATCCCTGAGGTGATACCATACGAAGCAGTATTGGAGGGCTCGTCGAGCGAGCACACCATGTCCTCAGCATTTCTGCACAATAATTGCTATTCAGACCCAACCTGTCCATGAATGGCCACCTTCGTATATCGAGTTTTTATCTAGTTTGGCTGAAGAGTACTCCGTACAAGTCGTCAATGGGAGAAGTTTTCTCGTCGCAAGGGCGGAAGAGTCTCACCGAACCCGCCAGTTGCCGCACAGGGCTGAGGGAAAATGAGAGAACGAAATGGTAATCCAGTACGTACGGAGTAGCTGTCCAAAGAAAGCTCGCAGCAATCGTCGTCTACGCAGTAAATTGAATCACGCACAAGTGGGTAGTCTAGGGTTGAGGCACATGCTCACGCAGCTGTAAGCGTACCTGAGACACAGGGGAAGGGAGCTCTGAAACCATTGACAGGTTGGAGAACGTTGGATCGTGCAAACAGGAGTACGAGACACTACCGGGTGCGACGCCGATCGAGCGCGAAACGGCCACGAGGAATGATGGCCTGATCCGGTCGTGGCCTTTAACGAGGATGTGGATCGCGACACCGTGACTGGGAAGGTGTTGGATGTGGCCCCCATCGGAAAGAGACGCGCAAACTGCGATGATGCTCAAACACAGCCTCAACGCACACAGTGTCTCAACGGGCTTGCGTGAGCCGCAAGGGTTTGCAGGGATTGATTCGTCGATGTCTGGCTCGCCACAGGGCGAGACACCGCATGAAGGCGACAGCACCGATAATAATGCTGGTCAAATCAATGACCACCAGCACCGTCGTTGAGATTCCGGACTCCATCCTGGCAGTGCATCCGAGTTAGCTACTGTGCCAGAACAAATGGTTACAGTAGGTGCTGAGTTCCCTCGGGTGAATATCGATAACGAGGCAGAGCCCAGCAACGGAGGTGCCGCCAAACGGGTTGGTCCAGACTCTGTGGGTCCAAGAACGGGCTTCCCCTTGCCTTTCCAGTGGGTTTTCACGGGTTTCCAAGGCTTTGATACCAGAGGGTCTGTCGCCAGCCAACCCTTTTCGCTTCTGGACTCGTGTCTCAGGCGCTAACACAAGCCACAACTGCGTCAGTGGTTGGTAGATCTCACTTTCTGCGTGCTCGAATGTCCAGTTCTCCCATTCACTCTGTTTCCTCTGTTCTCTCTTCAACGCCGAACACCGTCGCCAGCTTTCGCCGAAACGACTCTCACAGCTCCACGACACCTATCATTGAAACAGCAGTCATCGAGCCTCTTGCAACCGGAATCGGAGTCGTGCACATACACCCGCTACCTGTACTACTACCTTGTTTACACCCTCCACGAAACGCATTCTCTCTCCAGGACGGGTGACGACTGCCTTTCCACTTTCGAAGATATTCACCCACCAGTCTATTAGCCGAGTACTGAATCGCATACGAGAACCTGCTCTCTCCTTAAGCCTCATAGCAACATCGCGCTGATGGCTAGCACCTCATAGAACGTGCTCACCTCGATAGCCGCCATCAGCGGCGCCTTTACGCCCCTCCCCCATACCATGGAAAATGTACCGCCACAGGTATGGGCTGTGGCTCATACACTGATCGCCCGCAATGAGACAAGCAATTCAACCTCGGCGGCCACCGATCCTGCCACACCCAGTCGCCCGCCTGTCTACAAAGCAATCGGTCTTTCTCTGGCGGTGGCCTCTGGTCTGTTCATTGGCACTTCCTTCGTGCTGAAAAAGATGGGACTGCTCAAAGCCAATGCGAAATACAACGAGGAAGCCGGCGAGGGTTACGGATACCTTAAGAACGTCTGGTGGTGGGCAGGCATGACACTGATGATTGTGGGTGAAATCTGCAACTTCGTGGCCTACGCCTTTGTCGACGCAATTCTTGTCACACCCCTAGGTGCTCTGAGCGTTGTGGTCACCACGATTCTGTCTGCGATCTTCCTCAAAGAGCGGCTGAGCTTTGTGGGCAAAGTGGGCTGTTTCAATTGCATTATCGGCAGCATCGTCATTGTCCTCAATGCGCCCGAACAGAGCGCCGTGGCGGATATACAGGAAATGCAACACTTTGTGATTGCGCCTGGATTTCTCAGCTATGCTGGGGTTGTCATTGTTGCCTGTACGTTCATCGCCCTCTGGGCAGGCCCGAGGTACGGAAAGAAGAGCATGCTGGTATATCTCACTATTTGCAGCTTGATCGGAGGTCTCAGCGTCGTCGCAACTCAGGGTTTGGGCAGCGCGATTGTCGCTCAGGCTAGTGGCAAATCCCAGTTCAACCAGTGGTTTCTTTATGTGCTGTTGGTTTTTGTGGTTGCGACGCTGTTGACTGAGATTATCTACCTGAACGTGAGTCGTTATCGCTTTCGTCGTCTTTCTCGTCTCTGACATTTTGCAGAAAGCTCTGAATATCTTCAACGCCGCGCTTGTTACCCCGACCTACTATGTGATCTTCACCAGTGCGACGATCGTCACTTCGGCTATCCTTTTCCGTGGATTTAAAGGGACCGCTGTGACCATTACGACCGTGATCATGGGATTCTTGCAGATTTGCGCCGGTGTTGTACTCTTGCAAATGTCCAAGTCTGCGAAGGATGTGCCCGACGCAGCTGTTTTCAAAGGAGATCTCGACCAAGTCAGAGAAATCGCGGAGGTCGAACAGCCCGAAACAGAACCCAAGGCCGACGCTATCCGTGGAACTGCCGCTCTGATCAGACGATTGTCCGCCTCCCGACAGAAGATGGAACAGGAGGAAGCCAGGCGATTACGGGAAGACACGCTCAGAGATCAGCTCGAGCCGGTGCGCGAAAATGAAATTGTGGAATGGGACGGGCTTAGACGACGGAAAACCGTTCTCGGTGAACCTGGTGCTCCCCTTCGAAGAAATACTGTTCGTCCACCACTGGGCATGTCGCATTTTCCACAGCCGGACGACGAAGAAAGCGAGCATGGTCCGGGCTTCTTTGAGAACCTTCGGCATCGCGCACAGAGTGTCATCCGGCACCCTACCCCTGGCCGCCATCAAGACATGCCCGAGGACTCTCTGCGGAGCCCCATACATCCAGTTGCGTTGACCGACATCAAGGTCCACTCGTCCAAGTCCGAGTCACCCATTGTGCCCTATGGTCCAGGCAGTTACGAAGATGCCCAAGAACGGATTTATGGACTCCCACACGGCCAGCTTCAAAAGGAAAGAGGCGTCTCAATCGCGGCTCAACCATCGCCTCGCTCGAAACCGCTACCGCCCAAACCGTCGTCGTCCCCGTCACTTAGACCAGCTCCAGAAGCAAGACGTCAATTTTCTTTCACGAACTTCCTCCGCCCGAGTTCACGCACACCAGACATTGATTCAACCCCGTCACGGCCGCGATCGCACCGTGCCAGCAGTAACGAGCAGAGGCGCGCCTTCAAGAATGGATCAGAGGAGGAAAGATTGGGACTTGTCAAGGGTGATTCTCACGTTTCATTGCTCGAACATGAATCTCCTCGTTCGCCCGAACACCCAGCTCACTCCATGCCCTATGCCCCTACCGACCCCCATTCCCAATCCAGCTCCACCAGCAGTGTTGACGAATATTACCGTTACCAATACCCTTCTCCTCCTCAACGTTCTCTGTCATATTCTGACGAGGTTGATGGTTGGCAGATGACGAGCACCGAGAATCCTCCGAACGAGATAATCTCAGCCGCACCACCACCGGCGACGACAAGCAGCCGGCGACGACCAAGTCCGCCGAGAATCTATCAGCCACCACCTTTACTCATAAGGAGTTCACCGACGAGCGCGAACGACGACCGAGCAATACCGGGGATCATGGTGGGAGAAGACTCAACACGGGGCAGAGCCACTCAAGCAGCATCAGACCATTTCCTGAGTTCGTCGACGAGCCCGCCGAGATACACGAGTCGGCACCCAGACACTGGTTCTCGCAGGACGGATGGCGACGGTCACCTGCCTCGAGTCTCGGAGGACGCAAGAGTGAATGATGCATATGAATACGGTTTGGCTCGGACAGAGAGTCCAGAAGCAGAAGCCACTCGACGGCGGTTCGAAGAGCAGAGCAAAAGGGAACGAGAAGAGCGGCGGCAGAGAGCTGCAGGTCGACGACAGAGTTGGAAACCTACAAGTCCTGGAGGAGCAGGAGAAAGCTTTGTTTAGGGAACATGGCTTGCACTTGGTCTGATTGTACAATGAGTTTATTCTGACAATAACGAAATACCCACGACGTTTGGATTGCATGGAGATGCACTTATGACCTGAGAGAGAGAGATATGACGAGTCAGTCAGGTTAGAGTCTGCCGACTCACGATATGTATAGTATATAGCGGATCACGCTGAATAGTATTTCGATGACCGCAGCATGGATTCTCTCCCTCCAGCTTAGCACGGGCAAGTCCATCGCCGGCCCCGTCTGTGTTCGCAAAGACCTCCTCTTCAGGAGTGCGATCGACAAATCGCCGTCGGATGCTTCTTAATCCCGAGCCCCCGCTGTGGCCCGCTCAATCGGCTTTCTCGGTCGAGTGCATTGGAAAGCACGAAGGTCAGGCGCTGCCGTCGACCTGCTCGTCTGTCTCTCTTTACCATGCTCCTGGATGGGGTACAGGGACACTTGACACGATATTTCGCCTTCCGATGACTTTGTAGCGATTCACATGGCCGACTCACCTGCATCCGAGCCGTCGCAGGACCATGAGTCAGGTGACGAGTCCAATGCGGCACAACAGGCTGCTGCCAAAGCAGCTACGGTCAAGGACAAGGAATGCCAGTATTGTCACCAGCATTTCACATCTTCCTCCCTCGGCCGTCATCTCGATCAATTCATCTCGAAGAAGAAACCCGACGGCATCCACGACGTGGACGAAATACGAAGACTGCGAGGAGGCATCACGCGCCGTACGGCGAGAAGCAGCAGGAAAGACAAGCACAATGGACACGAGGATGCTCGCTCGTCCCAGGGTTCCCCAGCGCTCGGTCCAAGTCCTCAACCGGGCACACTGGTCTCTTCGGCGATTGAACTGAACCGTATACCTCCGGGGGGAATGCACGTGCGCTTGAACAGGTTGAACTGGGAGGCTACAGGTGTCATTACAGATCCAGCAACCCTCGACTCCCCAGTCATTGCCGCTCCACCCACGCCGGCTGTCGTGTCCAGCCCTTTGGGCCTGAAGCGCAGTTTCTCGACGTACGCCCAAGACCTCAATCCCGCGAACAATGCAGTGACCACGAGAGCACTCGAGCTTGCTCTTCGGGAAGTCCTCGATTCTCTTCGCACGGCCACCAAGCATACCTCGCCGAAACCTTCTCCCTTCAACTTCGATGTTCAGTCGCAGACCTTCCCTTCCCTTTGTCTAAAAGTCCTGCCCGCGCCAGCGACTCTCTTCCAAGCCTCTCCATTCTCCACGCCACAGTCGATCCCGATCAACCCGCCTGGTCCAGACCAGCTTGCTCCTCTCCGCCAGAAGCTGAGCGCTGCAATTGACTACTGGAAATGGCAGGCTTTGCGGCTAGCTCAGCCTACGTCTTCAAACATTGGGGAAGAGGCGGACTTTCTGTCACACAATGCGAAGCAATGGATGGAATCTACCCTTGCACACGTAGATGCGAGCTACCAGAATTGGATGGCGCATCCGGTCGATATCCGCAATCTACTTTGGCAGGTGGAGTTGCTCCGGGCATATAATTCAGAACAGCAGAAGGTGCGAGAAATGGAAGAGAAACTAGAGCGGCTGCAACAAGAAGCGGACCAGTTGCAACAGCAGGTCGAATACCTGTCCCGCTGTCAGTGGCCACGAGAGATGGCCTTGTGGCCTCCCGAGCGAAAGACGTTCGGTGCCACTATGCGCGAAGAGTTGCGGATGATCAATCTGAACAAAGGCCGCGCTGGTTCGCACGGACCAGGCGGTGCTGACGAGAGGATAAATGCGCCTGGTGAAAGCGTGATTACGAGACTGGGTGACAAATGGGACTTTGACAAACTGGTCAACAAGTGGAAAGCGCACGTGAAGGAGGACAGGAATCGGCGCATGCCCGTTCCGCAGTCTCAGCAGACGATGGACGGGGTCGTAGCCGGACCACCACCAGTGTCGAAAGTGTCGGAGCTCAAGAAAACACAGAGTGAGCCAGGCATAAACGGCTTGTCGAATAGATTGGCGCCAAACAGCCTGGAAGAAAGACGACGGAGCATGAGGAATCAAAAAGGGAACATTAGCATCCTCTCAGATCTGTGAGGAGTGTTCAATGACAGAATCTGTACGGAGTACATTGTGTGTCAATCGCAGATTTCATGTCCCTTTCTACTGTAGCATACATGACCAACGGGAATTTCGCTCAAATCGTGACAGCCATTAAAACCAATAATCTGCGTCATCTTCCAACCGTAATATCCCAGAGACCGACCTGTTCTTCGCCGGAACACCCTGTTGCAAGTCGTCATCGTCAAGTTGGAACCGTACCCGTGCACGAGCGCGTACGGTTTGTGAGGCCGTTACTCTTCTTCTTCCTCCGCCTCTTCTAGATCCTTCTCCCTCTTCGCAAACAGGCTCACTCGATTTTGGATTGCGTAGATTGCATAGCCCACCAGCGCTAGCAACACGAACAGAACGATCACAATGATCGCTATCACGTAGTTTCTCTGCATGATGAATCTGGTCGATGTGAGGCTGTGTCACGGATGGAGGAAAGGACTGGGTCCTCGAATGGCTGATCGTTCGAGGAGCGTGAGGCGCAAAGGGTTCACTCCGAGCACGGAAATGCAGCGAGGGCTCGACTAGACGGAAGCGGGCCGGTGGTGGTGGACTGAGTCTGGGGCCACAGAGGAGGGAAGCACTGTTGGGCAGCTGTCTGATGGGGATGGGCTCAGACTGATAGCTTCGAGATAACAGTGAGCGGGGCGACGGTGGAGGTGACGCTGAAGATAACGAGGGACTCGATGCGGAGACAGCAGTCGGCGACGCCGTTGTGTCAGTTGTGATGGGTCGGGGGGTTTCGAAGCTGAGTGCGATACGTGCTCGTGGCAAATGCTGGTTTGCTGCTGGTTAGTTGCGAGGGGAGGCTGCTGTGCAAGATGGAATGTTAGCAAAGAGCACTGTGCACAATAAGGTCTACATGTAGTCAAACGCGAGCGACCTGCCCAGCCTCGCGCACAGTCATGTCTCATCAGGTTGATGGCTGGTGACGGCGATGAAGAGGTTGGAGAGTCAGTGGCAGGAAGCGAGAAGTCAAGGCTGGGCGAGTCGCGAGGCTGGCGATCCAAAAGCGGAAATAGGGGGGACAGCTAGCTGCAACCAATGATACTGAGGCGGCTTTCCGCCCTACACAGCAAGGACGGCCACGACGGCTCAGAGAAGTTTTGACGCTGGACTCCGTTGTCCTCGAGAAGAAAACGCGTGTGCAACTCCGTGCAAAGATCATCAATCCCGCTACTCCGTACTGCCCTCTGGTTCAGCTTGCGCATACGTCGCAAAAGACCTCGAATCCCTGTTCAGAACAATGTTAGCTAGCGTGTTCGCTTCAGAGGGCCGTTCAACCATACGAGGTCTTTTCCTGGGGATTTTGTGCAGTTGCTCGACAGAGGGAAGCGTCTCTGTATCGCCCAAAGGGCCGTGACGGGTGAATAGTCGAAGAGGATCGGAGCTTGTGGAGCTTTGTCGCGGTACAGCTGGACGATGTCTGGCCGGCGTGAGTAATGGTCCCCGCGAACATCAGTACAACCTACCGCCGAAGCGAACAGTCAGATCTTCGAGGTGCGAACCTCGTACGCCATAGCCGATTCCTGTACCATCCCAGCGGACACCGTTCGTCTGCTTGGCGAGAACGTTGATGTCCTGCTCTGGACCCATAAGAACGACTGAATCTCAAGTCAGCAGAGTTGATGGACAGCTAGGTCGAACCACCTCGGAGGTTATAGCCAGCTTTCACGATATCTGCAGCATCGTGCCTCAGACCTGCATCGACAGCGGAGGCATTGAATCCCTGCTGAATGACGAGAGGGTGATACGGAGGCAAGCCACTAACTGATCAGTTCAGAGTCGACTAACTAGCGAGGAGTCAACATACGTGAAGATGATGTCGAGCTCTCCGCATCCAGGAAGTTTCGAAGGTGGAAAGGCGGAAACAGCTGCGCCGATGAGACTGAATAGCAGGATGCTTTTGAATTGGACCATGATGGACGTTTGTACGTTGTGCTATGTAAGAAAGTTGCTCTTGAGAATGATTCCCGAAGGACGTAAGACTAGACTTTATATCTTCTTCCTCTGACAGTTTTACCCATCGGAAATTGGGTACCATATCGTAGCTAACCCGGCCCTAATCTTCATCCACACATCTGAGCAAAACGAGCGCTACCACAGTCGAGGCCATTGAGCGCACGAGTGGCTTCTCCATGTCTCCAGGTAACACCTTCTCGCGGCACGCACAGTCTTTACAGGCTCTTGACAGCAATCTCCGGATGGCGATAGCCCGGAATGCGAAATAATGACAATTTTCTCCCGCTTCGAGATGGACGCGCACCTTTTGCGCTTCATGTTGCTTGTTCGGTAATATCCCTGGCGTAGCCGCGCAAGATCAGAAGAAAGCAAAGATGCGCCGCCATTTTCCGGCTGTAATGAACCGCATTAAAGGTGCAAAACGTGATACGGAGTATGGAGGACGGCGACAGGTCTGACCGAGGTTCCTGAAAGAGCTAGAGTAATAAGTTGGGGAAGACGCCGGATAGTGGAGCAAGATCTCGACCGAGCCAAGGTGTGGTAAACTGCTGGCGGCTCACCCTGCTTTGGGGCGGAGGGTGTTGCCGCCCTGTGCTCACCCCCGGCTCGCGCGAGTCAGGGCGAGCCGGGTGAGCGATCACCGTGTCACACCGATGGTGGGGGCTAATATATCTAGCGCCTGGACAAGGGCCTGTGCGGCGCGAACCCGCTCGCTCGACGAGGAAATGTTGATTGGCTTGTTTATTGAGCCAAGACGGCCCCATCAAATCAAGACTTCCTTCCAATGACTTTACACGGTCGTGACAGTATAACGAGACTCAAAAGCAGCGCCAGCGAGACTTTTTTTGAGGGCTGGGTATGACGCAGTTCCATATATCACCCACGAAGACCTGCCATTGCTGCCACACGAACATCCTGGTGGGCCAGCAGCAGCGCCGTATCGCGGATCAAGGTCGCAGTCATACAGCAAGTATGCTATAGGCGACATCTCAGGAGAAGCGAGAGTGAAAGAAGGGAATGAGAATTGTGATGTTGTCTTGAAGCTCCTGTTGCCAAAAGTTTAGGCCCGGAGAGCACTGAGCTTGGCGTGGACAAGTATGATCGGACTTATAGCCCGATATCACGTGAAATCTAGACGGACATATCGGCGATTGATCCGATAGCACATAGGTTCCTCGTGACTTAGAGATCTTTATTTTAGTACTAAGACACAAACTGAGGCTTGAGTCATAATCCTTAAGCCTTTGGTATCTTGTATGGGGACCAAGATCCGTCCGAGATGAAAAGGGGGACCACTGCAATAGAAGGAGCCCTCGGGATTCGAATACACAAGACAGATCTTTTCCAACTTGGACTTTTCCTTGTTCCAAGCACCTTTCTGAGCGCTGCCCACAGCGCAGATCGGATAATGACCCGTGAGCTACTTACCGAATACTTTGGAGGGACCGGGTGAACAGCAAGAGGTTGGCGAAAGTGCTCTTCGCGGATGGGGTGTCGAACACTGGTGTATAGATCGGGGGCAGATGTTGGCTTGGGTTGACAAGAACGCGGCCGTTTCCAGACACTGAATATGAGAGAGATCGTTTCAAGAAGCATGAGCTGGTGGAATATGAATTGATCCTGAACATGATTGCATCGGGCCAGATCTTGAAGCACCTTCCACGGTGAATGATCGAACTGCCATGCCTTGATCCCTCAGGATTGAGCAGCAATGACGCTCTGACACTGGAGACAAGTCTCACTGCCTTTTCCAGCCATGCTCCTTCATACTTTCGTCAGCATTCCCTGCATCAAACCATCCTTTGAGCTTTGCAATATCTTCCTCGTTGAAATACTCGTTTGCCATTGCCCAGCCAACAACACTATGGTGAGCCTCTTGAGCGCGTGAGCCCGTTCTAGCGCCTTCCGCATCAAGCATATCGTGCGCCCGTAGAATGTCGAGCCTGCGATCTGGAGCCTGGACGTATTCATTGAGGAGGATCAACTCTGGACCTCCGAGGATTGATTCAGGGTCGTTGTGGCGCTTGATTATCTCATCGGTGAGGATGTGCTCCTTGATCATGATGTGCGCGGGCGGACCAGTATAGCCGGTTGCAGGTTGGACATTGCCATCCTCGGTAGTCGGAGCAGACATTTCTTGATTGCTTCGGGACTGGATTGACTCAGTGCTTTTGATGTGGACGATAGAAAATCGCTGTTCGGAGACTGGCAGACGTGATCCTGATGTCTAACAGAAGGGAGGCGGAATAATTTGTAATCAAGTACCAGAAGCGCTAAAGAGAGTTGACTAGGCAGCAGGCGTTGCAGCAGAGGCTTCCGAACTTGAGCGCTACACCGCGTCTGTCAGACGACGCCCATTGGCCGACATTGTTGTCAGTCACAAGTCAACACAGGGATATTGGTCGCAGGAATTCGTCCAATTGAAGGCAGGAGGGTGAATCGTCCAGGATATTAGCGAAGTACCACGCCGTCAGGTCAGGACGCGTTTGAATAGGCTGTTTGTTCGGAACGCGAGGCAGTCCGACCCGAAGCGTGATGGAGCCTGACACTAGATGTGCTAGTGATCGGCAGGCACAACATCTCGAAACCTCAGTCGGAGATTCTGATGTCAATGCTTGGCTGTTGGTCTTTGACAAATTTCTGCCATGTATTGGTCAGGACAAGGTATTTGATACTACGGTGCGCCGCATCAAAAACGTGTTCGTCGAAGCCTGCCCTCATTTGGGCTCGGGATTCGCCCAGTGGGGCAACGCCAGGATGCGGCGGGAACATTGACTCATGTTTATCCACCGGAAAAGACATTAGCACTTGTATTGCTGTGAGTGTTTCCACTGAGGCCCCACTGTGTGCTGAATTGCCCATGTGGAATGTAGAGGTCGTCTTGGGTGACTTGGTCCAGCTCTCAGCTTCATAATAGCTCATGTCTTCGTCCGGAATGAGTCGAGTGGTTGGCTCAGCAGGACCAAACACCGTGTCCAAATCTTGACGAATCCTGCTTTCAATGTTAATTGGAAACTCGGTCGTCTTGTCATTGACCCTAGAGATATAGATGTTCACCGCTGACTGGAACAATTGGGACTGCACAGATTCGGAGAGGATGTTGTTGGCGCGGAGAGCAGATGCATAGGCCTCTTTCCACCGCTGCACCTGGATCAGGAACAAGATGTTCTCGGCCGTGAAATCCCTAGTAGCGGCAAACTTCAACAACGGGTTCGGGTTGCTTGCCAGCGCTCTCTCCAATGCAGCCATGGTGTATAAATCTCGCTGTTGAGAGGAGGTGATTGATGGCTGGTCGGATGACGCCCTGCTCGAGTCCGCATTATTGCTCGACTGGATGATGCCACGTCGGTCTTCCCACGATTCGAGAATGGCAAGTGTCTGGCGCAGCTGGAGCCGGCTCTTGATGATTTCATAAATAGGGAAGAAGATTGTTGTGAACTGCATCACCACAATGCCCGGAGCCAGCCACATCGGCGGCACCCACCAACGGTTCACAGGCTTGAAAGCAGTCGAGTACAGGGCCGCCAGCCATAGTGGAGTCCCAGGAAGACCGGAAATCACACTGTAGATGACTTGCAGTCTCCAGTAATGGACATCATGGATATTCCGCACACGGAAGAGAAGACATGGTCCGTAGAGCCAGGACCATGCTAATTGCCAGAACGCAGAAGGTATCCATTCCAGAGACTTGCGGCAAAGAGCCTGTCCTTTGGCATGAGACACATCGCCGTAGCTTGACCAGTCGCCCTGAAGAGTGGGGGTTGTCGCATAGAGAGCAGCGGTGATGATGAGCTGCACCGTCATTCCCGTGCCGATGTAGACGTAAGACTTCTGGATTCCAGAGAGTGAACTCCATCGATGCCGAACTTGCTGGGCAGCAGAGAGGCTCGCGGGTCCATCGAATGATCCATGTCTCGTATACACGAGGTCTCTCTGCTGGTCACTGATACTTCTGAGCTGTGCCAGGTTTGCTTGGAAGAGAGCGATGCCAAATGGCAGATAAATGCTCATGATCCAAAACTCTGCCGAGCATAGGAAGTGTCCGTTAGTGGTATATGCGAGGAAGATCTTCACCAGATAGACGTGGAGAAAACTGACGGCGGCGATGGCGAGGGGCAGGTTGCGGATCTTGATGAAAGCAAGATTTCGATTGATGATCAAGAATGCAACAGCAGCATAGAGGATGACTGTCCAGGCAACGACAAAGCCAGCGTAAAACTTGCCCAAGTCATCCCAATTGACGAGAGAGCCCCAATTGCGTCCTTTCGGATTAAGCCCCATTGTAGCCGCGGTAATTGTTTGCTGGAATTCGATGGCAATCGGTTTGTAGGACAAGGCGGGAGCGCAACGGTCAGGATGAAGATCTGGAAACGGGAGATGGGGACATCATCATATCTTGGGAGCAACCCTTTGCCACCTGCTGGCTGAGAGCCGTTCGCACATGGGCAACAGACATTTCTCACGTCAAAAGACGCGGCAGACGTGATTGACCTAGCAATGGGGTTAGTCTACCACAAGGCACAACCATTCAGGAAGTGGTGGCGCCATACCAGCTGTAAGGAGCCAGGTACAGGCGACATCCCTCGTTCACCTCAATGGCTGAACTTGCATATGTCAATGCTGTCAAAGCCCGTGTTAGGGCCGAGTTCAGGCTTGGACCACGTCCCGCCCCACTCATATCTGGGGAGCCAGGGGAACCATGAGAGCCAGGAAAACTAGGAGAACCAGGGGAGCCACGAGAACCGGGGGAGCTTTTCCAGTCGACCCTGTTCGTACACATTTGCTGCCGGTAGCTCGTAAAGGCCGCAGCGATCGGTGATGGAGATCAGGCTTAACGCGAGTGGATCTGCGGTAGAGTCTCCATCGAGATAACCGAGGACGGCTCGGCGTCGGTCTAGCCGAAACCATTGATTGCAGAAAGCTTTCTGCCACCTACAGGAGGTGGCCACTCGCGACAGAACGCCCTGTGAAAGAATACGACCGTGGAAGAGCCGGAAGGGAGAAGAGCTCCATTCACCACAGCAACTTCAGCTCTGAGCTCCTCACGGCACAGTTGCCTGCGCCACACCCTCTACCCATATGAAACACTTCCGCACAGATCTTGAACAGTCAGGAGTATTCATCACCATCCAGGAATGCCTTTGATGTCTTCCATGGCACTTGATCTATCTGAGCTTGCAGGTCGTTGCCTGCATCAATTCCATCCACGCACCTTGTCACGACAGCCTCAGCATGGAGGATCACCAACTTGGCGTCGAGTTCCATCCAAACTGCGCATTGCAGCGTCTCAATCCTAGCCGGCTTCTTGTCCTCGCCGTCCTCGATGTCTTCGCCACGAACCGCAGCCTTATAGCAGCTGATTGTGAGCCTGTTGTACCTGCATCTAGATCTTGTGCAGCTGTGGCCTTTGTTCTGCAACCAGTCATTCCCGCTTCTATTGTCCTGCGCTGAATTACTCTGACAAAGCCCACACATCATCAGTCCTGTTGCTGACCCTATTTCGGTGTCATTGTTTGCATTGCGACAAAGAGAAGCTGCTACTGTATTCTAGATGTCCCAGTCCAAAATGTCTCTGGCGCCGCAGTCCAAGACACCCGCACTTTCTAGCCGTTTTCCGCCCGCCAACCGCTACGATGACCTCCTCCACACTCAGGGCCTGCGTCTCTGGGTCAAGATTAGATACCTCATACGTCAGTTTCGAGTCGGAGAAGGGAGTGAGATCACCAAGAACCCCAACGTACATCCCAGATTCGCCATCAATACAAACAGCCCGTCCTTTCGACCACACCAGATTCTTTGCCGAGTCCACATCTGAGACCAAGAACAGACCCTCGTTACCACCGCCACCCGCCACGAAGCCCATGGAATGGATATGGATCTGCCATCTTTGTCACTCACGTTATGCGCTCGGAGTGACGCGACGATGTCTTGTCGATGGACACTACTACTGCTCCGGGGAGAGCGACAAGCCAAGTATGAGGAAGAAGAAAAAACAGAAGGCCTGCTCGAGCGAATTTGACTACGGCGCATGGAGAATGTGGGGTGAATGGCGTCGGAAAGCCCTCCGAACGATACAAAATGACAGAGTCTTCAAGGGCTGCGAGTCCTGTGACTTTCCCAGCCAGTGTCGGTACCCCATCGATACACATCCACTCGGTGATATGGGAATGGCATCGGTGACGCCCAAAGTCACTGTGACCGAATCAGCCCGCGAAGCAAAACGTGAAACAGAGCAAGATAGAACCAAGAGCAAATCAACCGCCAATGAGAAGGTTGACTTTGATCAGATCTTGAAGAGCATGGTTGATACGGACGCACACCAGCCGACTCTGGACATGTTGAAAGGTACGATGCAGGAGACGGGAAGCGGGAAGAAGAAGAAGAGCTTCGGCAGCAAGGCATTCGTTCCCTCTTTGCAGTTAGAACTGCCTCACTATGACACAACATTGCACGACCTGGTGGCAATGGATTGGGCCAATTTTGAAGAAATCGAATTGGGAAAGACAAAGACGGAGTGATTGACTGTACTCTTGTACATCAGCGTGACGGCCTGGCGTGTACAAACGTGGACTTAGGGTGACCTCGGTTTCGTAGCAATTCATGTCATCTATTTCCCAAGCAATTGACCGATGTATTCTGCAATGGCCAACATCTTCTCTTCCGTGAACCTCCTCCCAACGATCTGGACGCCGACGTGGGCTCCATCATACAACTCCGCATCGTAACAGTCGACAACTTCCTTATCCTGGTCGTTGATCGGTGTGTATCCGTCTGCATACTTGTCCACCGATTTGTCCGATGTGGTAACCGGGACCACAACGCTTGTGTAGTCCAAGCCGTTGACCCAGACGCTGTAGCCATAGTATCTGTACAGTTCCGGTCTCGCCGCTGGATAAGGCGCGAGAGGTGAGATGATACCGTCGACCGGCTGGCCTGTCCCAGTTTCCTGAGCGGTGCTATTCCAGTAATCCAGGTACTCTTTCTGGAAGCGCCTCTTGGCCACATTGTTGGCCGCAACTTGAGCCGCTGTCAATTGTTCACGTGGTTTGTCCCCGTAGGACATCTTGACCTGAGGGGATATTTTTTCGCCGGAGAGAGCAAATGCTTCGTGCACGTCCTTTCCACCGTCATATCTCCATGTCATCAGTGAAATGTCGAGAAGCGTTTGGTGCGAAGGTGGCTTCCATTCGATGATTTTGTGCCCGGCCTTGCCCAGAGCTTCAACCACCATGTTGACTGCTCGCGCCACTGGTGGTTGAGGGTTGGCGATGCCATCTGATCTCATGACTGCAAAGCTGAGTTGGCCTTTATTTGAAGATGACTTGACAATGTCCAAAATGGCTTGTTCTTGGGCATCGCGCCAGGGCATGTCGACGACTAGAGGGTCATGCAACCAGGGTTTCTCTGACAGAATGGACTTGGTGAGCAGCCGGAGCCCTCGGACGGTGGTGGCAAGCGGACCGACAACGGACAAGATACTGTTCTGACCATCCATGCTGTTGGCCATGCCCTCGTATGGTAATCTTCCGGCTGTTGGTCGAATGCCGTAAAGCCCATTGAACGCTGCTGGAATGCGGATGGATCCTCCAATGTCGGTGCCAAACCCGCCAGGGGAGCCCTTCAATCCGATCAAGGCGCCCTCACCGCCAGAGCTACCTCCAGAACAGAGATATCGGTTCTTCGGATTCCAAGTATAGCCGATGATGTTGTTGACCGTCTCTCCAGTCATCAATGTATGCGGCACACTCGTCTTGCAGTATAAGACCGCACCCAGAGCTCTAAGTTCTCGGACCATTTCGCTCTCATAGGTCCCTTTTCGCTGGTCATCCGGCTTGCCTTCGAAAGTTCCGATCCAGCCAACGTATCCCATGGTGGTCTCCACACCCTTCACATGGAACTGGTCCTTTAGTGATACAGGCACTCCGTGAAGAGGGCCTACGGTCTTCTTGTTCTTTGCGTAGTACTCGTCCAAGTCTTTCGCGGAAGCCAGGGCGGCATCGAAGAATGTTTCGTGAAGGCAATTGACCAATTGATGTGCCAACGACGCTCTGTGGCAGAACGCCTCTGTGACATCGACAGCGGACCATTCTCCCGCGGCGACCTTTTCAGCAATGCCGACAGCGTCGGTTTCGGTGATTGCAACTTCCTTCTCGTTCAGGAATTGTTGAATATATGCTCCGGTGACATCCTTTTGCTCCTGGGCACTGGGAATTTTTTGAAGGCGCCATTTCTCGGGAATCGAGTTGAGAATGGCTTCTCTCTTCGCCTTTGCGCGGGACTCCCAATCAGCGACCATGTTGCAGAGATGTGAGGGCAAGCTGAGTGTTTGGATGCCTCGAAGAACCGATGGTTGATCCTATAAAGAGTATGGATGATAATGCCCCTCTTGGATTTGTTCAATGAGGGGATCACTGGAGCCTGTTGGAGTCGCACATCTCCATCACCCTTCGGCCTTCGCACGGCTATTGCCTCCACGGACTATCGCAGGTTGATAAACTAAGACAGAGTCTCCTGCCTGTTTGGGCTAGAATCCGTCATACCGAGTCGGCCGCAGTCGGCTGCTCTGTTTCACTCGGATGTTGAGTGGAATTTGCTTCGGTCATTTGTCGTACGTTAAGATTGATACGCTTGTTGTTCATCCATCCCCGCCATTGTTGATATTGATCTTGTCGTGGAACGTCTGGCCAGTCTCGTAACCAGACCGGACACGTACCGGCTAGTATCTTTGGCACTCCATGCCAGGCGTATCTCGAGGCCCCGGACATGAGAATGGCATCTCCGGACCTCAAGCGTAACGCGACATGACTCCCGTCTTCATCGCCGACAAGGAATATACCATCGCAACCGATGCTGATACTTACAAGACCTCGGTCACATTCCTCGCTGACGTCCCGGTGGACGCTCAAAGTATCTCCGGGACTGTAGAAGTTCACGATGGCGGCTTGAGCGTCAATAGAGGGAAACAGATGTTTTAGTAAAGCGGCAATATCAGAAGGAAACGGCGGAGGGGCTTCATTGGGATAGACCTTCTTTGTCCAGTCGTATTGCCCACCGAGAGTAACCCATCGCAACTTCGATTCCAGAATTTGGGCATACGTGATTGGTTTGTGAATCGTATGATCTTTTGGCGTGAGGGCTACATTGCGGGCTGCCGCAAAGAAGGATCGTGATGATAGGCTGCAGTTAATAGCAGGATATTGAACATGGTGGTGGAGATGGAGATTTGTTTTGTGCATAGGGTTTGACAGGTCACGATGGAGAAGCTTATCCAGCAGCGCCACTTGAAATCGAGGAGAAAGCAGAGACGGAAAGATCTGAAGGCCTACCATAAGTCAGCCCTTTTCAAAGCCGCTGACAGTGATTGAAGCATACCGGGCAGACCGTTAACTTCGAAAGCTTTGTGGGGAAGTTTTTCCTCGCCGAGACAAGTGAAAAAGTCGGTATCGATACCAAAGTCTCTCGAGCAGGTACCCTGTTCGAAGCCATTGAGAGGCACTGCATGAGGAAGAGATGACACTTTTGTATGATCTGGATCGTGAGGATCAATAATGTGCGAATCGGCATCGAGTTCTGAAGCTGGCCGCTTCCGCAATTCCTTGAAACGTTCTCGGATCGAGTCGGGCGGCCTCGCGTGCGGATCATGCATCTTAGAAACGACGGCAATAGTGATAGGTATCCAAAAAGCCGTACAGAGCACTGTGGACTGATTTTGCGGTTATTTGCGACTTCAAGCTTATTCTGGTTCCCTAGCAAGACATCCAGGAAGTACGGATTAGTACCGCTAGCTTGACGACTATTACATTTTCTTGGCAACGGCTAGAACAACTTGCCGCATTTCTCTTGCAGCAACGTTCCGTGTAAGATGCCAGGATGAAAGATTGTGACTGTAGACACTGCACATAATCAATCCGATGGAACATTCAGTCGGCAGATGTCAAGCGTGCCGGCGTCCAGCCTGACGCTCGTGCCAGGACTGTCTTTGTCTTTCGCGTTTGTTGCCCTTCCCTTCTTCCACTAACGTCTCCAAGCACGCATTTGCATTTGTCCAGTTGCTCGACAGACGTTGAGCGTTGAAGTACTTCCTCTTACTACACGTCGTGTTCCCATTGTTGTCGTCCTTGCATGCACAGCGTTGCTCCTGTTGTATCAGCTACAAGCCGCCGTGACAGCGCTGCTACCGCAGTCAAGCCCCACGAGAGCAAGTCGCCGCAGGCTACGTCCCCTCACCAGAAGCCCACCGTCTTAGCGCCCAACTCGTTCTGCAGGTCCTGGCAAACATATTACCTCTTCGAGCACTCCGTCCTCTCCTCACAGGCAAGCCGAAGCAGCTACCGCTGGTGCAGCGTCAATCTACGGCCTTGGTCATTCAGGATGTGGAGGTGCAACGGCGCCGGCAGCCGCAGGTCAAAGAGGTGTTCCAAAAGTTATTGAACTTCATATCACGAGAAGGCCTGGATGCGGGACGAATTGTGGGCAGTATCTGGTGGTGGCCGTGATACATTTGGTGGCTGGGCTGCAACTCTGATAGACGCACTTGATAATCTCTGGATTACGGAGTTGAAAGACGAGTTCAGACCAGCTACCTTAACTGCCGCCAATATCAACCTGTCGACTTCTACGGATGCCAGAATCAAGATGTTTGAGACCACAATCCGCTATCTTGGGAGCTTCTTGGCTGGTCTGCTCGTGACCATAGTGGCGAGAGACAACTGTCGACCAAGGCTGTTGAAGTCGGAGAGATGCTGCTTGTTGTCTTTGCCTCGCAATCACATGCCAATAACTCTCCGGGACTGAAATCGCCGCTACATACTCCGACCGGAGGCGATTGAGAGCATCTTCATCACGAATCGCGTTACAGGCGACAGATTGTACCAGGAAAGGCGTGGCAAATGTTTCAGTCAATACAGCACATCACTGTGAACCGTTCGCCAATGCTGCTGTCGCCGATGTTACTGCCACTGCTGTCAACGGCTTGCCTCCAAAGGATGATTGGATGGGAAGCCTTTGGCTGGCCTAGACGGTGAAGTATTTCTATCTGATCTTCAGCGAACCAGACTTGATCAGCCTGGACGAGTATGTTTTCAACACGGAGGCACATCTCTTGTGACGTCCGGGTTGATCCTGAGGATTCGTTCAACGACATCCGACTTGAGCATGGCACGTTGGCAATCAACGAGCTTATCAAACACTATCGATCACCCAACCAAGACGATAATCACCAGAACCTCGGATACAGGACCTGTGCCCGAGATCCGGCCACAGATGGAAAGCTTCAAGTTGAACACGCGATATCTTTTACCGCCGACCTTGAACAGTTGCCTCACAGCATAACCGGTATCGGTGCAATTCTTGTACGACCAGCTCTCCCTGGTCCAGCTGCACACAGTGTCGTCTCCTCTGTCACGTTAGTACGATGGCAACATTGACTATCGCCAAAGTCCCTTGCACAAGCTTCCGCATCAGCACGTGAGTACGCGATGGGGTTCGAGCGCCTCATCCTCCGGTGACATCCTAGACCGGTGAGGGCCACCGAAGTCAAGAGGACGCTTCCCAGGACGCTGAACTGGCTACGAATAGTACTCTACACTGGCAACTGAAAGTATGATGCAGGACGTTTTCAAGCTGTTGACTGCCATCGCTAAAATGTAAATTATCTATTTTCCAGTAGGCCTCTGGAAAATGCCACAGTCTGACGAGCTCGTCTCTAGGTAGACTGATAGAGGTGCATCATCCCTGGAGGTGAAGTAATACCATACGTCCTTCCAACTGAGCCGAAGGACAGACGAGTTCACCTCCCCCTGGGACCCCCCAGCTCACCTTCACTGAGCGGCACAAACATGACTATTGATTTCATGGCGATATCCTAATCAGGTGGACTCTAGGCCTCTTTCCGCCTGCTCTGTTCCAGCAGGCGCTATCAATCGCAAACGAATCATGCAAAATGGTGTGACTGCTCTGTTTTTGTGTCCATGTTCCTTCTTTTGTTCCTCGGCGCAAACAGCCCGACCCAAGTGACAAGCGCACAGCGACCAGGAAGCTGTCTTCAAGAGGTCTCAGCCTCGAAGGATCCTCCCCCTCAACTCGTCCTCACCTCAACCGACCTTGCCCCCCGACCCTTTCCGAGCTTCAACCCAGCTCGTCCTCAACCTCAACTTCGCTACGCCTCCTCACCTCTCCAATCCATCCCTCACATCCTGTCAATCCTCTGTTTTTCAAACCGACGCCCGAGTCTTCTTTCTACAGAAGGGACGCAGCATGTTACAACTTCTCCCTGAAGTTCCTATACTTCGCTGGCCAAATACCCTGCTTGCCAGGCGATAGGATCCCATTCGGATCAACAGTATCCTGCAGCAGTCAGCGAGCTGAATGATGATGGGTTTGGCGGAGGACATACCTTCAGCCTCTCCACGAACCTTCGATATGCGTGGTCGTTAAAATCGTACGCATCCGCGACAAGATCTGCAACTCGTCAGCAGAGTCGACACTGACACGAATCAGGACCTACCCATATAGTTGATATGCGATCGATACTTGCTGAAACCTCTCTGGCGGCCTTCCTTGTACAGACTGCGGAAAATGGTGTCGACCGCTCGTCGGTGCTCCGGGTTGGACTTGTCAAACACCATCATGTTGACGAAGATGACATGCCGCTCATGCATGAAGAAGTCGCAAAACAGGTCGAATCCTTCAGCTTCGCAGATCTTTCGAGCTGTCATTACCCATTCCAGGACAGTCTTGCCATCGGAGGGAATAATGGGAGAATAGTCCGCATGAGCACCGATGCCCGCTTTTTCCTTTGGCAGCCGGTACTTGACCATGGGCAGACTCCACAAGCTCGGCACGCCGACGAAGAATCCACCATGCGGTTCTGGTATAGATGTTGCTTCTAGCAGTTCATCATCTTCTCCGGAAAAGATTTGACCGACCAGGCGATCCTCATGGCCAGGAGCTTTCTTGCCGATGATACTCTTGAGCTCATTGAAATGCGACCGGACCACATCCTTCGCACCGTACAGACCGAATTTGACGTTCCAGTACCCGAAGCCGAGCTCTTTCTGCAGTTCTCGAAGTCTCCAGTCTGGGATCGGTCCTTCTCCTGGCCACAACTCTGCACGCTTGCCGGTCATACCGAGCCATTCGACAATATTTGAGACGTATACCGTATTCGGGAGCAACCCATCTCTCCGTAGGGCACCGAATATGTCAACAATCGTCTCAACATCTTCGAAGTTGGGCATGTCCCAGGAGCAAGACATGTACGCCTGAGGTTGGGGATGAAGCCATATGCCCATCTTTGTGACGATGCCGAGATTGCTCTGCAGAAACAGACCCTCGATTGATGGGCCGAAGCTGAACTTGGACAAGTGCGCTGAAGGTGAGTTTGAGATGGCAAATTGACCTGTGCGGACAACATCGCCGTCTGCGAGCATGACTTCCATCCCGCTGATATGTTGATGATGGGTCGCCGTCGGAGTGAAACCGGTTCCTCGGTCAACCGTCTGCCACCCGTTAGCTGTGTCTTTGTCGTACAGGACCACGTACATTTCCAACCACACTTCCCCAGCCCAACGAGGGCACACTCGGCCAAACTCGAAGCTTGTGCTTTGCACAGTACTGGTATAGATCAGTGAAGGTGACGCCCGGCTCTACAACTGCGTATGAAAACTTGTCGTTGACTTCGATGACGCGATTCATGCGATGGAGATCCAATGCGACAGATCCGTTGAGTCTTGGTGCCGGTCCGCCATACCTGACACGTTAGATCCGCTGGCTGCTGGTGTGGATGGCTCACCCAAGGTTCTTGCCGCGTGAGAATGTCCACACGGGAATGCCGTGCTTGTTCGCTATGGCCAGTACTGCTCGTAACTCATCTATTGATGCCGGGCTTCCCACGTCAGCTCTACTCTATGCTTTGCTCAGGAAAACTCACCACACCGCCGCACTTGGCATCTTCCGCTTGCCTTCCTTCTCCCATAGCTCATAGGGATCTACATACTCTTCGAGGGACTGGCCCCGGAAGACATGATCCCTTCCGACCGCATCCTCAAAGGCTGTGACTGACTGGTCGAATTGTTGCTGGCTCACACCCGGTGGAAGCACATTTTCCAAGGGAGATAGAAGGACTCCAGAGAACAGATTGCGATGGTTTGACTGGTACTCTGGGTCCTCGTAGCGGATTGGAAACTTGTTATCTGTTGAACCCATGGCTGTTGGATGTCCTTGTCCTTTGCTGCATGTCCAATTGACGCTATTTGAGTAGCCTCCAATTCCTGTTCCACCCACATGCTCCAACAGCCCCGGACTCCATGAGGAAACCCCACATTCACCACATCGAGTAGATGCTCCACTTCGGAACTGCGCCAGGCTGTCGCCTCGTTGTACTCCGTACCCGACCACTGACTGGGTAGCATCGAACGTGGCGTGGGTGTCGTTGAAGCTGAGTTTAGGAAGGGTACTGCATTTAGTAGCAAACACAGTTGGGGCATACCGACTGAGTGAATGCACAACGAGCCTTGATACCCTCCCAAGTCAAAGATTAGATTGCAGGCGGTGAAAATTCATGATGTCGAGCGCAGAGTCCACAGCGCAAGACCGGCATGAAAGGCAGATCTCATCAATGCTCATCTAGAATGCTCATTCGTTCTGGTATTCATTGGAACCGCTCACAGATTCTGTGGTCGTAGTTTGAGCTAATCTAATCTCCGCCTTCCCGGTGTAGCTTCATGACACCCCCGAGTCTAACGCAACCTCAGGTCCATATTGATTCGAGTTGTCGACTCGTACATACAGCGCCTGTCCAAGTATCTCATCGGTGGCTTTATTTGCGCGGGGGCGTCCGCTTACAAGAACTCATAGACATGAGCTAGCCAATCAGGCGGGAGACCACCTTCATCAGTTGACGGCGCCGGGTCGTTCATGGCCGTGGCATCGACATCGGGGATAAGAACCTGGACATGCACCCCTAAGTCGAGGTAGGGTTTCAACTCGACGCCAGTGGGCAAGCATGCCCTAGGGTCGTCGTGATTAATGCCGAGAATTTCGAGTAGGACGAAGTGCAGCTTTTGCATCACATTCCACCACTCTTCTGCGTCCCCATCAAAAGAGGCGAAGGATAGGAGATAATGACGCTTGAACTTTTGGAGACAGCTGACAAACGAAGGACGGAAAGACGGCGTCCACAACGACCGATTCCATAACCGTCGTGATGTGGTACAACTCGTACTTGGCTCCAATGTTGGTGTCCTGCTCCGACTGTGATTGCCGGCGCTCATTCCGGGATTCCTTGTCAATGAAGGCGTGAGTGGCGTTATTGACTATACAGCCCACGTGTTGGCGTAAGCAATCGAGTATCTGAGGTATGACGCCCAAGTATGACAGTCGCCAGTTCGATAAGGGTTAGGGTTAGGGTTAGGGTTAGGGTTAG